TGGGCTGAGAAACCCCCTGTGTCCAGTCAGGATCCTCACCACAAGACACACGCTTACCACTTCCTCTGTTATGCTTAGGAAACTATCAATTCCAAGGAATCAACTTATTCAACAGAGAGAGCAGCCTAGAGATCTGACTCACATCACAGTCTAGAGAGCGGCAGAGTCTCATGCAGGACCCCAGCAACAGTGCATTTGAAACTAGGAACAGCATCTGAGCACTCTGTGAGTTTGGCTGGGTCCCTGCCAATAGTGAGGTAGGGTGGAGATTCCCAGAAAGGGGATGGGTCATGGAGGCCTCAAGCCCCTTCCCCTCTCTGCCAGCTCCTCCAACCAGGACCACTGCCCCAGGTTCCCCATGGCTGTGCAGGGCTCCAGCCCAGGCTGCCATCTCTGAGTGCAGCTCTCCCCACCCCCACCTCTTCCAGCTCTTCCATTGGTACCCCCACCCTCAGACTGCCCTTTGTCAGAGGGAGCTCTATCCCTTGAATCATACTCACAGGATCTCTGTCCAGGCCTCTCCCCAAGAGTCCTCCCAGGGGTCCCTGTATTCTTGCCTGGAGCATGACCTTCAACTCCAGAGGACAGTGTTCTGAGTGATGTCCTGGGTCCTTCTTTCCCCATGGCTGAACCATTGTCCCCTCCCTCCCCAACTGGAGGCTCAGATCTATCCTCAGCCCTAATACCAGCCCCGTTCTGAGGCAAGTGGAATTTACAGGGTCTCAGCTGTTCCCCAGTTCTCTTTGAGACTCTGTTCTCACCTCTAGATCTAACCTTTTTTCTGAGAGCCAGGGCCCACTTATGCCTGACTTCCTGAATTCCTACATTCCTCCTCATGCTAGAGTCCCTACCCTAAAAAGCTCAGTATGATAAAGATCATTTGATAAAGAGTATATGCAAAAATCCTACCACTAACATCATACTTAATGGTGAGAAACTCAAAGCTTTCCCTCTAAGGTCAGGTAGAGGGCAAGAATATCCCCTCACTACTTCTTTCTAGTATTGTACTGGAAGTTCTATATAATACAGTAAGACAAGAAAAGGAAATAAAAGCTATTCAGACTGGAAAGAAATAAAACTGCTTTTTTTTGCATGTGACTTGATTATCTATGTAGAAAATCCAAAAGAATTGAAAAAAAATCTCCTGGAAATAAGTGATGATAGCAAGGTTTCAGGATGCAGGGTTAATTTATAAAAGTTTATTGCTTTCTATAACCAGCAAAGAACAAGTGGAATTTGAAATTAAAAACAATACCATTTATATTAGCACCCATGAAAATGAAGTACTTGAGTAATAATCTGGGAAAATACATATAAGATCTATATTAGGAAAACTATAAAACTCTGATAAATGAAATCAAGAACTAAATAAATGGAGAGATATTCCATGTTCATGGATAAGAAGACTCCCTATTGTCAAGATGTCAGTGTTTCTTAATTGATCTATAGATTCAATGCAGTCCCAATCAAAGTCCCAGGAAGTTATTTTGTAGATAATAAACTGACTCTCAAGTTTATATGGAGAAGCAGAAGAACCAGTCCAGAATAGCCAACAGAATATTGAAAGAGAACAAATTTGGAGAACTGACACTACCAGACTTCAAGACTTACAGCAATCAAGACCGTGTGGTATTGGTGAAAGAGTAAACAAATAGATCAGTAGAACAGAATAGAGAACCCAGAAACAGACCCACATAAATATAGACAACTGGTCTTTGACAAAGAAGCCAAGACAATACAATGAAGCAAAGATGGTCATTTCAACAAATAGTGCTGGAACTGCACATTCACATGCAAAAAAAAAAAAAAATCTAGACATCTAGATACAGATCAGACACTCTTCACAAAAATTAAAATGAATCATACAACTAGATGTAAAAGGCATAACTATGAAAATCCTAGAAGATAACATGAAAACCTCGATGGTCGTGGTTATGGGGATGACGTTGTAGATATACCAAAAGCATGATCCATGAAGGAAACAATTGACAAACTGGACTTCATTAAAATTAAAAACTGCTCTGTGAAAGACAATGTCAAGAGAATCAGAAGGCAAGACACAGACTGGTGAAAATATTTGCAAAAGAGGCATCTGATAAGAACTATACCCAAAATATTTAAAGAACTCTTAAAAGTCAACAATAAGAAAATGAACAACCTGAATAAATAATGGGTCAAAGACTAACAAACACCTCACCAAAGAAGATGCACAGATGGCCAATAAGCATATGAAAAGGTGCTCCATATCATATGTCATCAAGGAAACACAAATTAAAACAATGAGACACCACTACACACCTATTAGAATGGCCAATATCTAAAACACTGACAACACCAAATACTGGTGAGGATGTGGAGCAACAAGAACCCTCATTCATTGCTGGTGGAAATGCAAAACGGCGCAGTCACTCAAGAAGACAGTTTGGCCGTCCTTCCAAAAGAATTAAAAATTTATCTTCACACAAAAACCTGCATACAGATGCTTATAGCAGCCTTTAGTTATAATTGCCAAAACTCGGAAGCAACCAAGATGTCCTTCAGTAAGTGAATAATAAACCGTGGTACATTCAGACAATGGAATATTAACTAGCACTAAAAAGAAATGAGCTATCAAGCCATGAAAAGTCATGGAGGAACCTCAGATGCATATTACTAAGTGAACAAAACCATTCTGATAGGGCTACATGCATGTGATTCCAAGAATATAACACCTGGGAAAGCAAGGCTATGGCAGCAGGGAAGGGATCAGTTATCACCAGGGGGAGGCGGAGGGAAGCATAGATGAACAGATGGAACAGAGATATGTAGGGCAGTGAGAATGTTCTGTATGGTACCGTAATGATGGATACATGCCAGCATACATTTATCCAAACTCATAGGAGTTACACCACCACGAGTGAGCCCGAATGTGAACTAGGAACTTTGGGTGAGAATGACGTGTCACTGTAGGTTCATCAGTTGTAACAAATGGACCGCCCCTCTGGTGGGGGAGGTGGACGGTGGAGGAGGCTGTGTGTGGGATGGGGGACAGGTACCCATAGGTGGTATCTCTGGACCTTCCTCTCAATTTTTCTGTGAACCTAAAACTGCTTTTTAAAAATAAAATCTTAGCAGAAATTTTTTAAAAACCCCAAGACAGAGGCCTGCCCTGTTCTGCCCCTCCCCTGCTGCCCACCTCACCTTGCACTTGGTACTCCTGGGGCCCAGCCCCTGAGAGTGGAACCTTGCTCCCTGTTGACAGCCTGACCCTCAGAACAACTTGCTTCCCCGCCACTGTCATCGGCCTGGGGTAGGGGCACCCCTCTATGGGCACAACTGCTGCTCGCCACTAGTAATCCTGTGAGATCTCCTAGCTCTGACCACAGCTGCCCAGAGGCTGCGTGACACAGGCCCATCTCCCAGAAGCGAGCGGGGTTTGTGAGGCCGGGATTTTCCTCTAAGTCCTCCCACGAGGGCAGCTGTGTTATCTGTCTGCACAGATGAGGTGCTGACAGGCTCTTATCTCCCCCGTGACTCCAAACCACAATCTGGTTCTGAGTATCCCCTTCAGTACCTTGGCTCACTCTCAAAAACACAGCTGGTGGTTTGGGGGCAGGGGTGGGGCCTCCTCTGCAGTTCCCCTTTTCTGGCTCTGGACACCCCTGCCAGTGAGGAGGAGTGTGATGGGCACCTTTCTGGCCTTAGAAGAGCCGGTGAGGGGAGTGGGGTAGGAGGGGAATCACGAGGGCTCCCAACCCAAATTCCCCGACTCCAGGATGTCAGACCAGCTCTCCCTGCCAGGGAAACCAATTCCGTCCGCAAATCCTGAAAGAACAGCCCCAGCGGGCTTTGTGCTGCTGACGGCAATTGCCTTGGAGGGCTCGCTTCTGCCTGTCTCGCTGGCAGGCCTGCTCCTGCCCTCCATGCACCACCCAGCTGAACAAAGAAACACCTGGTGGCCACCACTCCCAGCTCTGTAGGGTTATGTGATAGGGCATCACCAGGCCAGGCCCTGGCATTCTATCCTTTAAACATGTCTAGAATCTACGCACTCTGCCCTCCCCACCATTACCACCGAATTCCCAACCAGATCACAGCCTGTTCACTGGTGTCCCCGCCTCCAGTCTGTTCCCAGCACGGCAGCCTGAGCTGTCTGTCCAAAAGGCAGATCTGATCACATCACTGACCTGCTTGAAATTCTCATTGCTTCTCAGTGCCTGTCGGACAAAGTCCCAAATTCTGTCTGAAAAGACCCCCCAGTAACCTAAGCTGCCACCCTATCTCCACGTCCTCACATCTCTGGCCTCCCTGCCCCATCCTCTAGGTTCCTTCCTCTCTGGTTCCTCAATTGCCTCATATTCTCTCAATCCAGACTCTTCTAGACACTCTTCCCTCAGCTAACACCCATGTAGTTTTAGTAAATGAGACAGACGTCTCCTGGCCTTCCCTAAACCCTGGGGCTGGATGGGGCAGCCCTGCCGTCTGCTTCCTGTAGCAGCAGTCATGGTCCTTTGGCAAAGCTTTGCAAGGTGCGCCATATTTTGCTTATCTCTGTCCTAAACAAGACTGAGCTTCACAAAGGCAGGGCGGGGGCTGTTTTGCTCACTGCTCTGTTCTGCAAGTCCTGCATGGTGCCCAGAATATAGCAGCAGCTTATTACTCAGTTGGGGTTGCATAAGTCTGAGGTGGTTTAATTTGTTTTTGGTTTTTTTTTCACAGAATAAATCTGGAATTGAGGGCTACCCGCGCTGGCTCAGTACCTTCACAATGTCAGGGCCGGTGTCTGAGTGTTTCTTGGCTTTTCCCTCGTTCCTCTTGCTCTCTGGCTGGAAGACAGCGGTATTCCAGGCTGCAAGCCTGTGTCCGAGGAGTGGGGAGAAGGCCATGGTAAAGGCCGTCTCCTCACAAACCTGTGTCCTTTTACGTGTGAAGAGGAGCTCTCTCTAGCAGACTGCCCTTTTTGTTTTGGTCAAAACCAGTCAAATGCTCATCTGTACAGCAATTACTGCCTAAGAAGAAGGTGGCTTCCAAAACTGCTTTATTAAATCATGACTTTTTAAAATTATGATTTTCCTTATGTATTGCAATAAAGAACCACCTTCTCTGAGCACTAGGGATCTCCCCAGACACTTGAAGAATAATGGCTCTTAGAAGAGAAGAAGCTAGGGGCAGTGGGACATAGAAATGATCTATTGCTATGTACAACATTGCCCCCAAAGCTCAACAATTTAAAACAACATTATCACACACAGTGCCTGAGGGTCAGAAATCCGGGAGCAGCTTAGCTGTGTGGTTCTGGCTCCGGATCTCTCATGAGGTTTCATCAGGTTGTTCACGGGGGGTGCAGTCATCTGAAGGCTGGACTGGGGCTGGAGGATGGCTTCCAAGATCACTCATGCATTTGTTGGCAAAGGCTTCAGTCCCTTGCCAGGTGGGCTGCTCCATTGGGCTGTTCATGATACGGCAGCTGGCTTCTCTAGTGTGAGGCATCCGGACAGGTGTGTAGGGGAGAGAAAGCACCAAGGTGGAAGATGCGATGTCTTGTATGACCTCATATCAGAAATGACATGCCATCATCTGCCCAATTCTGTTGGTGGCGCAGACAAACCCTGGCACAGGATGGGGTGGGACCACATGGATGTGAAGTCAGGATCAGGCATCACTGGGGCTGATCCTGGAGATGGCTTCTGCAAACCTATAGACAGCAGACCTTGGCTGCCACAGTACATGTTTGTTGAGCTGAACTGAATTGAAATGAAGAAAATGAGTTGAAATTCAGTGTTCCTGTTTTCAGGGTGAAGAGAAGGAAAAGGATAGAAAGCTTATGCTGATTTCGTGCCTTCTATATGCTAGCCATGCTGCATAGGTAATTTCATTGCCTTTCCCCAACAGGTTATGACAAGTAGCTGGTGAGGTCTCCATTGGACAGATAAGAGCCCCAGGGAGGCCAAACCTCGGCCTGCATTCCCTGCCTCTGACCCCTTCCAAAGCTGTCCTCATCTGCCGTTGGCTATCTACCTGTGGACTTGAATGAAGGAGACTTGGTAAGAGAGTGAGGATCTGGCAGTGGGAAGAGAGGCTGAAAGCCACACTGTGGTGGGCACTGATACGCCACTGAGACCGCCCCCCCATTGATGGAGGACCTGTCACCCCAGGGGGAGCGTGTGCCGTTGGCTCAGCTGACAGCCCCTTCAGGGATGGCTCAGCAGAATCTGTGGTGCTGAAGGTAACAGTGGTGAGAAAAGATGCCATATGGCAGACCCCAGTGGCACAGCCAGGGAGACCCCTGGGTTCTGGGAAAGGCTATGCCATCTGTAGTGGGGAATCATACTCCTTTTGGAAAATAATCCTTCGCATGCCATGGGGCCTTAGTTGAGACACAATGCTCCATCATGGCGCACCCCTTCCCGTGTGGCCGCACTGACCATCGTGCACTGGGTTCTGTCAGACACGCCAGGTCTGACGTGGGACAGGCCCAGAGCATCACATCGTCAGATGGCAGTGGTGCCCCGGGATAAAGCGTGAACAGGACTGGAGGGCATCAAATCACCAAGCTGCACAAGCAGGCTGGCTGTCCACACCAATCCCCCTCCCTTACTCATCTTTAGGCTGCATAAGACGGGGCGGTCCTTGAGGACAAGTGACACAGGAAGACAAAGGTAACCGTGGTTCATCTCTGGTCAGCTGCATGTGCGGGTGCCAGCAGAAAGGTCGTTGTACTGCAGCCCCACGTAGACACGGTCTTGAAAGACGGTGGTGAGGAAAAGTCCTCCCGATGGGCAGAGCATTTGGCCATTTACTTTGTATGGAAAGAGAAGCAGCCCGAGGTTAGAACAAATACAGACTGATGGGCTGCGGCTGTGGTTGGGCCCACATCACAGCCCAGCTTCTGCTGCCAGCCCTGCTTCCTCTCCTTCTCTTACAGGTTTTCACTCCAAGGGCACGTCTTAATAAACACCCGACAACATCAAACCCCTCTCGGAGTCTGCCTACCACGGAGCCCAACCTGTGACATCGAGCAGGCAGGTGACAGAGACCCTGAGACTGAGAAGGCCACGGGGGCCGTGCGTAGCACAGGGAGTCGGGCTGAGGGTGCTCACAGTCAGTGGCCGGAGGAAGAGGGGAGGTGGCAGAGAGTGCTCACGGTGCTGCCAGGTGCTGCCGCTGAGCAGCTGACAGCGAAACCTGTCCCCCCAGCTGTCTCACATTCTCAGCCCTCTGCAGCTCCCCAGCTGCTTTCCCAGTTCTGCAGAGGCTCCGTGCGTTCCCAGGGATGCACACCCCTCTGTGTGGGGCAGGAGCTGCCCGTACTCCCCCAGTGGCTATACTTCCTTATTCCCAGTAAGAGAATGTGTGCTGGACAGAGAGTGTAGTGAGCTGAATGGTGGCCTCCAAAAACATAGTCCACATTCTAACCCCCAAGACGTGTGAATGTGACCTTATTTGGAAAAAGAATCTTTTTTGGATGTAAATCAGTTAAAGATCTTGAGAGGACACCATTCCGGACTATCCATTGGGCCCTTGAAGAGAACTGACCGGCCTGTGTTGCTCTGAGCATGCCCTCCCCTGGCACTGCCACTCCATCCGATTGTGGGCATCCCTACATCGGTCTTTGTAATATTTGGGGAAGTCAGGCTGGGAAATGCTGCCATTGGTAACCTTCCAAAGGCTCAGGCCTCTGAGGTACAGCACAACGCAGGGCAGAGGTCAAGGGCCCGACACCTTGTTTAAGAACCTATGTGTTACATGTTTCTGTGAGGGTCAAAGACAGGCAGAGAGAGCTGGGTGGGGAATTGAGGAAGGTGTCTTGGGGAAATGAAAAGAGTTTGAAATGGCTTTCAAAGATGAATAGAATTTATGTTTTTGTATATATTTTGACTGTACTATATACAATCAAAATGTTAAAATGATATTTCCTGGAAGTTCCCGCTCTGACCCCATGAGTCTTCCCCCCACTGTACCCAAGGTAAAATTTAAAATTGAGTTTTCTTGTATTTCGTTAATGATTATAAAAGTGGTACATCCCCAGAGTAAAAATTTGAAAAAAGCCATGTCACCCATCTGGTTAGTATCTTCTACCTCCCCTCCTCTCTACCCACATCCCTACTCATTTTTTCTTGGTGGAGAGAAAGAATTTATTTCACATCTGCTCTGGAGACATGGAAACCGAGGAGTATTGTCCACGCGTCCGCATGGCATCGCCACAGCCACAGGCCAGGCTGGCTTCCCAGGTGCGGAAGGCTAATTTGCAACCCAGTGCTCTGTCCTCAAGGGGAAGGAGGCCTAGGAGAAAAAGTGGATATCTGGGATCACATCAAAGTCAGTGGAAGACCTAGGATGCTGCCTATCTTGTAAAGGCCTATCTAGGTTCTCAGCTGGACATAATAATTTATCAAAAGGAAAAGATGCCCAATTCCTTTCGGATGCATAGTTGCTTCCTGATAACTTTTTAGCTGCCTGTACAGAAGAGAAAATTCCCATTGCTTTGAGTTTGCAAGGGTGGCTATGATCATAGCCAATACTTCATTGCAACTTTTATTACTGATCAGCTCAGACATCATGCAAAAATAGCTGAATGCATGAAAAATTTCAGATACTAGAATCTCTTCACGATTATGAAAGTAACACACAGAATTTCTGGGAAAATTTTTCAAAACATTGGAGTTAAAAAAAAAAATGGTGTCTCCTGGCCCAAGGTAAAACCCAGAGCACTCTCTGCACAAGACTGTTGGGGGCAGAGCTGCTGGAGGTCTGAGGCTCACAGAGGGCCGCACCTGAGCACCAGACAGCAAACACTGGGTGTTGATGTTTCATGTGTGTGGTGTTGATTAAAGGGAGCAGCCTGTGATATGAAAGGGAGGGAAAGCATCAGGACTTAAATGGATCAGTTCAGTGGCTTCATTTCAATAGGTTTAAGTCCAACCTTGCTGTGCAGTCAGATCTTGTGTGGAAAAGAAAATAAAGGGAGGCCAATTCAACAAAGCAAGCATTAAGGATGGGCTTATCTTCTACCCTCAGAGGTGACGGGCCCTGGAGTGGAGCTCCAGCCTGGCCAGGTAGAGTCAAGGGCTCGCCACCCTGTATGGGCTCCACTTTGGCTGCCTTGCCCGCCTGTGGCAATGACATTACATTGAGAAAAGTCAAATACATTCAAAAGAAAACCGCAGGCAAGTTGAGGCCATATGTGTCATCTTTTAGTGCACCAGGAGCTTTCGTGTGCTTACATGTCACCTGGGGATTTTGTTAAAATATGGATTCTGGCTCACTGGGTCTACAGTGAGGCCTAGGTTCTGCTTTTCTGGCAAGATGTCAGGTGTTGCTCCTGCTGGTCCAGGGACCACACTTTGAATAGCAGCAAGGTCTGGTTGGCATCACCTGAGGGAAGATCTGGGAGGGTTTGTGGAGCAGACAAAGGAGGAGGTGACAAAAGGGGGAGAATATATAGTTTGTACAACGGTGCAGCAGGTTGCTCTCTGTCAGTGGCAAACAAACAAAAAAACACTGAAAGTGGCTGAGCAGTGAGCCATGGAGCCTGGAGGAGGGCAGTACCGTGTGAGTCAGCACAGGGTCTCAGCCTCATCACCAATCACTTCACTCTAACAGCTCAGATGATGGCTGAGACAGCTCCAGATGTCACGGGCAGACGACGATGTCCAGAGGTAGGAATTGACATCTTTCCTTGTATGGAAAGATTTCCGCTCATATCTCATTGACCAGACGGAGTGCACTTGCCCCTTCCTAAGCCAATCACTTGCAAGAGGGGAATTACCATGAGTAGCTTATGCTAATCAAGTTCTTCCTTTTTGGGACAGGAGACAGGAATGTGTCTTATATCTAAGAACTGATTATTCCAATACCTTTGGTTCTTGGGGTCTATATCTAGTGTTTGTTTTTTCTGCTTACTCTCACCCATGGTGGCTTGTTTCCTTGTGAACTTGGTAATTATTAATTATGGGCTTATGTATGGAAGGATGTGGCTCTGTGGAAAAGCAAGGTAGTTTGGAAAAAAGAAAAGGTGTCTTCTACAAACAGTCAACTAAAGCTTGGTGCATGAGTAACATTGGGGTTCAGTTGTTCCATTCATTGCTCCTCCTGGTGACTGGTCAAGTTGGTGTTTGTAATGAGTCATATGGCTCCATATCCACACTGTCACACCTGCTCCCTTCATCAACATGGCTGCCTGGGGGGAAGCCATGGAAAGCAGAGACCCAGGACAGGCAGAGAAGGATGCTCTCTCTCCTAACACCCTGTGCTGGGGTTCAAGGCAATCTAGACAGTCTGCCTTTATCATGATTCTAGGGGTGGGTCCACACAGAACAGGTCGTCACCACCAAAAATGGCCATTCCCACCCACAAGGAACTCTCACTGGCAGTGTCTCTCCTTGAACTCCACTTCTGACCATATTCCCAGGATCTCTGCACCCCTGGACCATAACCTTCTCCTAATCCTCCCCCTACTCCAGACCTCAGGCCTTAACCCAAACCCTCCACTACCTTCTTCCTGCTCTGCCAGGGGAACCTCCAGATTGCTGAAACTCAGTTTATGCTGAGCAAGTTCCTGCCAGGAGGGCAGGGGCCTCACCTTTCATAAACAAAAAGGAGCCTGTAGATCTCTCCAGAGAGCAGGGCTGAAACGGAGATCAGGTTTTCACGGCGTGTGAAAGTCTCTAGGGGAAACGAGGCTTGGGATGAGCCAAGGCCACAGATGGCCTTGGGAATCACCACTGTGGACAGAGAGAGAAGAGATGACGGAGAAATAGAAAAAATAGGAAAGTGTGGTGTCCTGGAGGCCACGGTACAAACATGTGTCAAACGTCAGATGTCCAACACGTGGAGCACTGCTTCTGCTGTGCTGCAGGCGACCCTGAATTTGGAAAGATGGAGTCCTTGCTGGCCTGTTAAAAGCAGCCTTTATGGAGCCGATTACCGTGGGCTGAGGAGTAAGTGGGAGGGGAGATGTGAGGGCAGTGAATGTACAGAAGACTCTTTAGAAATGGCAAGTGTTTCCTCTGCCCAAGGAGGCATTCCCTGGCCGTCTGGCTTAGTGCCTGCTGCTGTCCCCTGGCCTGCCCAGTTCCCCTGCCCAGCTCTCCTGTTTTCCAGAGTACCTACCTCCTTCCAAAACCCTACAAATGTTCTGTTCTTTACTAACTTACTGCGGTCCCTGTTGATTGTGTATGTCCTCTTTGAGACTTCAAGAGTCCCAAAGACAGAGACTGTCTTCTCTGTGCCCAGAACAGAGGGTTGGCACCCACTAGGTGTTCACAAATATTAGTTGAATGAATGAATGAATGAATGTGGAGGACAAGGAGAGGGATTGAGAAGAATGTCAGGGCAAAGGAGGGTTTTGTTTTTAAACACAGCAGTAGCCTGGTTATGTTTATGGCTTAGGGAAACTCTCCAGGTTGAGACACAGGAGAGAGAAGTGGGAATTAATAACTCAAAATCTTAGCAGCCGTGAGTTTCAGAGCACACTTTGGGAGAATGGTCTGGCTCGGGAAAGCTGTGAGAGGTGACGTTACAAGGCCGGGAGGGCAGGTCCACGGAGTGTCTCCAGGAACTCTGACGGGCTCAGAGTTGATGCCACGGGGAATTGGAAATCCCAGGGCTGACGGTCTCTCGAGCAAGGGAGTGGCGGATCACTTGGCGACCACTCGGGATCGCTGTGCCAGACCACCCAGGAGGCACCACGCACAATCCCACAGAGCACACCATGAGCAGTGCCCCTGTAGTTGGGCAACACAGCAGCCCTGTGGGTAGGGCTACACTGGGCCAGGCAGGGCTGTCTGATGGGAAGCTGGGAGATGTCATAAGGCCTGACTAGGAGGTGGCAGAAGGGACAGGTAGAAGGTTACAAAAGCCTGAGTTTTTGTTGGAGCAGAACTACCACGGTTCAGGCCTGACAGCCAGTGGAACCGAGAGAAGGTCAGAAGAGCTGAACGTACATAGTTTACGGGAAGACCTTCAGGACAAGGGCTGGCTGCGCTGCAGAGATAATGGACTGAGGTTTTGGTAGTTGCAGTTGCTCAAGAAAGAAGGAAGTCCTCTTAGATACCGTAAAATTTTTTTAAAGTATGATTGTTGATAAATTCCCAGATAAGACCCATAAGGGGTATTCAGTACTTACCCAAGAGGACTATAAGGAGAGTCTCGGACGCTTGAGATCAATGTAGCGAGGCCATCTACATCCTGCGGAGATAGTCTGTGGTGCCTTTACCACTCCTGTTTGACCCGATCCTCTCCTGCCATTCCATTCTAGTCCATTCAACAGACATTAAATGAGCATCAGAAATAAGAAATGAGTCATACGGTCCCTGTTCCTGACTGGCTTTCAGGCTAGAGGGAGGGCGGGGGCGGGAGAAGGTTGGGAGGGTTCCGGTTCCTTCTGTTGCCCAGTTTCCCATGGAGATGAGGTGATACTGAGCCTTCCTTGGTCCTCTTTCTTCCCAAAGTCCCAGGAGCTGGAGTGTGCAGGGAAGCCTGGGTACAGAGAGCTCAGGATTTCCCCTTGGCTCCTGGGATCCCTTCCTGTGCTCAGTCCTAAGATGCAGTATCGGCCTCAACTCAGCCACCTACCAGCTGTGACCTTTGAGTTCCACTCACCCCGTGTGAGCCTGGAACTGGGGTGTGGGCCCACCTAGGTGGGGGCCCTCTTCACTGCCTGCTGCCCCCCTTAGCTGGCCAGGTCAGTGAGTAGACCCCAGGGATGGTGAGTCCAAGGGCAAAAGCCCTCACCTACCATCCCGGAAGGCTGCCCAAATAGCCCTTTTCCTTTGTCTGGCAAGAGCCTCTATAAACTCCAAAATCTAGTTCTGGGGTGCCTCCTCTGGGGAGCCTCCTCTGACCTCCCAGAAGATGAGTCTCTGACTTCCACATGCTTCCAATGTGATAGGGGTCCTCACAGTGCATAAGACAGACGGGTTTGCACATCACCCTCCCTCGGTGCTGACTTCCGTGTGGTCAGGCCCCAGGTTTTACTCATCTTCATGGTCCATTAAGGTGCTCAATGCTTATCTAATGGATGAATAAATGAATGAATGTCAAAATTTGATATCTTCCTTCACTACCCCTAGCCAAGGTCATGGCCCCTGGCAGCCTACCCTTGCCGCCCCTGTTAGAGGTCCTCTCTCTGTTCCTCATACGCTCCTCAGATGCTCTGAATATCTGTTACAGAGCAGGGGCTGGCAGACTTTTCTATAAAGGACCAGATGGTAAATATGGCTTTGCAGGCCCTACAATCTCTGCTTCAACTACTCAACTTTACCAGTATAGTGCAAAACAGGGCAGCCATTGACAAAACATGAATCAATGGGCATGGGTGTGCTCCAATAAAGCTACTCACAGATGCTGATTTGTGAATGTCATATCATTTCCATATGTCAATATTATTTTTCTTTCGACTTTCTTCCAACCACGTAAAAAATCTAAAACTACTTTTAGGTCACAGGCTGAAAAATCGGGCTGTAATCCATATTTGGCCTGTAGGCTGCTGTGTACCAGCACCCCCTATAGAACTTACTTAGATCTGCTAATAGACTTATTTTGGTCTCTCCTATTATTCTATAAAAAGAGTGGAATAATTAAGAACACAGCCTTTGGGAGACAGATGGGGGTCTCTTCAGATTCAAATTCCAGACTCCTTTCCTTCCTTTCTTTTCAGTCCAAGTCACTAGGCAGGTCTGATGAGAGCAGGAAGGCAGCCAGGACTCCTGCAAAGGGGGTGTCAAGCCCTTTCCTAAGGCTGCCCTGTCTCAGCACCGCAATCTGGGGGGCTCCACGTGATAGAAATGTGTTGTCTCGCAGGTTTGGAGACTCGAAGTCCGACAGGAAGGTGTCGGCAGGGCAACGCTCTCTGGAGGCTCTAGGGAAGAGACTTGTGCCTGCTTGTTTCTGGGGTTTGCCAGCAATCTCCATGGTCCTTGACTTGTAGATACATCCCTGCAGTCAGTTACACTGTGGTCTGCAGCCTGTGTCTGCACACTGTCCTCCTCCTGCTTCCAAGTAAGGTCCCATTCTGACCTTACTGGGGATGAGGACTTCAACATATCTTTTGTGGGGAGGTATAATTCAGCCCCATCAGAATGGATGTCAGAGCAGGGTGGCAGCCCCACAGGGAGGTGGGTGGGCTATATGCAGGGTGGGCGAGCCACTGAGTGAGTGCGCTGAAGACAGTAATCTGGTTTCTCACTGCCAAGAAGGCAGGTGGCAGATATTTTGGGAGAAAGTAGAATGAATCCGCTAGTGTTGAACTGGAATCGGGAGATTCGGTATGAACTTACGATTTTCAAAATGTAAATACAGAAATAAATATAGCTGTAAATGTATTCGTTCATTTCCTGGCTTTATCCAGGGAGAGGCCTGAGGGCAGGGACACCAGTGGCAATGAGCTCCAAAGTCCATTCTCCCCTGAAAGGAGGCAGAGCTTCTTGGAGAAGCGCCCAAGTCCAAGGCTGGAGCAGAAGTCCAAGCTAAGAAGGGAGTATCTTATGGTGCCTGGAAACCAGGAAGGCTCAAGGAATGATGGGGACATGTCAGGACACAGGAGCCATTTAAAGACGCTCTCATTGGCGAAACCTGTGATTAAAACATCCACACCAGTAATGATGGTAACATTTAATAAAACAGGAGTTCTGTGAGTCCACATTGATTAAATAAGTGAATAAAAATGGGAGGAAAAAAGCTCTTTCTGACAGTAGAATGCTAACTAATAAATGTAGGAATGATGCAGTTTAAAAATTGGCAGCCCATCATGATAATATTTAATTTAGTTAAGGAGTACCATGGCATAATAAGTCAAGGGGTGGAAGTCAGTTGACAGGTGAGATTTTATATCGCCTCAAAGTATCTCTCTTCAAAGTACTTACTAATGACAAAGGAGGTGGTAGGAGTAACTCCACAGTGAACAAACTTGGCTGATGCCATCTCAGTCAAGTGATCAACGTGACCACCAGTAATGGGACAAATGGAAATTGAAACCTGATAGGACACACTGAGAAGAATTCAGCATCACCTCTGTTATTCTGGCCAAATCATTTGAGTGACTTGGGTCAAATCAGGAGGAAATGCCAGGTAAGCCTAAATTGAGAGATACTCTGCAAAATGCCTGACCTACAGACTCCAAAGATATCAAGGAAAATGGAGGCAACTGTTCCAGATTGAAGGAGGCTGGAGAGACGTGACAGCTGAATGCAGTATGTGGTCCCTGATTGGATCCTTTGCTATAAAAGACATTACTGACCATTTAGTGGAACCTAAGGGAGGCTTTCACTTAAAGAGCATATTGGAATTCTCTGTACTGCCCTGTACAGTTTCTGTATTTGAAATTGTTTCAGAATAAAATACAGTGTTACCACAGACTAGCTATGGTACTTTTGACAAGCGATTTCACTTTTTTTTTTTTTTTCATTGTGTTAAATATGTCATGCCATTCTCTTCTGGCCTGTCGATTTCACTTTTATGCCTCGGTTTCTTCCTCTGTAACATGAAAATAATAACAGCGACTTTAAGGATATCGTGAGGTATAGGAGAAATCATGTGAGTGAAGATAGTGGTCCAGCACCTGGCCGTAGTGTAAATGTTCAACCTGTGGTCATTATTAGTGTTATGTTTCTATCAATATTTTGTGGAAATATTGTTCCTGTATTTTGTAAAATCTAAGATGCCATCGATTGTAAGACGTGTTACTATTTTATGTGCACTGGTAAAGTAAAAACACGCCCAATTTTAAACTGACAAAGTGATTTAGAATTTTTATTGCTTATTGAGAAAGCTCTTTCAGACTTACTTAAATGTAGATTTTTTTTTATCCTATGTTACTCTATTGATTGCATAAAAAGGAAATTATAAGCAAAATGAATTGGTTGAAGTGTGCCGAAGACTTCTTCACGTTTGGAGCCTGGTGCTCCTGACCTGACTCCCCTGTTTTCCATCTTCCCGGTAGAGTGGAGCACCTGTCAGAGTCAGACGGACCTCTCACTGTGGAGGGAGCCCCAACAAAAGGCCAGTGGTTCCAGGGGCCTGGGGTGGGGGTGGGGGCAGTGTGAGGGGTGGGCTCACAAGGTGCTGAGTCAGAGTGGGGGAAGAGTGTCCCCCAGGTGTCCCTCTCCCTTCCCCTAAGGAGGCCTCAAATAAGAGGAAGGCAAATATGTGAGATAGCGTGACTGGCCAGGGGCCTGAGCCCTTGACCACAGCTCCCTCAGAGACCGCCCTGCGCTGTGTGCCCCCACCTGCTGTGGGAGGGTGGCTGCCCCGCCCCGGCCTGCTGGGGGAAGCTTCCTGACGGCCTGTGCTCAGGCCTAAGTCACACACTGGTTTTTAACCAGGAGCCGGTTCCTCCCCACTGTGCCCCCTTGCCCACTCTGGACAGGCAGTGGTGTTAGACCTTCCCTCGAGCCACAATATGGAGCTTCCCCGGCTCTGGGGCAGCAGAGCCTCACCACCTGGAGCACCCAGTGCCGTCCCAGCCTCCTCAGGCCCAGCTCCGATCCGGTGACGGGGCAAGCAGGAGACACTGCCCCACCTTGAGCCCCAGAGGGCGTCCTTCCTCCCACCTAGGCTCCTGGGCACCAGGCCTGAGTGTGGCCCCTCCTGAGGTCCCCAGCCGTTGGCCAGGCCAGCACAGCCAAGGAGAGGGGGAGGATGCGCTGGGTGGGGGCACTGGGGAAAAGAAGGCCCGGGACATTGCTTCCGCTCCTCCCCCTCCCCGACAGACCCCTACGTCACCTCTCCGGGCCAGGAAGGGATTTCCCAGTAGCCGGCATCCTGGGAGAAGCCCGTCCTGCAGCGCCCACTCTGCCCTCCGGCCCAGACTTTCTCCCACCCAGGCATGCCCTTCCTGGCTGGAGGAGGGCCTGGGTCCACTGACCTCATTCGTTACAGGTCCCCTGCCCTCCTTTTTTTTTTTTTCAGGGCCTGCCAAGGGCTGGATGGCGGGAGAGATCCAAGGGGCACACAGACAAAAGGGGGTGAATTGTTTAGAATCACAGAGACAAGGAAAAAGCAGACTGACTTTAAATTGATTTTATTATTGCTTTAAATTCTCTAAAATACTAGTGGTAAAACATTCCTGAGTGCTTGGGGGCCTCCTTCCATGTTGTGCCTCAGGAGGTGCCTTGCTTGCTTTGCTCCAGACCCAGCCCTACTGTGTTCAGGAGTCAGTCACTCATTCATACATGGACTCATTCACTCCCCACACAGCCACTAACATGTGCTGGGTGCTGGGGAGAGAAATGCGAGGCACACACCAGACAGTGCTGGGGAAAGGCAGCCGTGGACCCTGAGGACTCTGGGACAGCGCAGGGAGGTGCAAGGCAAAAGGACACCAGGGGACTCACAGAAACACCGCGAACCCTTGGTGGCAATCAGGTGCCAGGCTCTGAGCTAAGGTCTTGCAGTGCAGCATCTCACTTGATCCTCTCAAAGGCTCTTTGATATTTGTGGACGCTTGTAAGTAACCGATGAGGTTGCTTACAGGGTCATGGGACCTGGGGAAGTGGCATGCAGGTGACTTGCCCCAGGTCACACTCTGGAGCAGGAAGTCCAGCCCAGGGCCATCCAGCTCGGGGCTCTCACCTAGTCTGCGTATTGCAGCCACCTCCCCCTGTGTCCCTCTGGGGGCATCAGGGAAGCTGCAGGAAGGAATTTGCTTTGAGCTGACAGAGGATGCATAGGAGTTTACAGGGAGACAGTGGGTCAGAAGTACTTCTGGCAGAAGGAATAACATTTGCAATCACTAAGGCTTAGAAAAAAATTGGTATCTTGGTGTCCACAGTTCTAAGAAGCTGGGCCATGGTGTGAAGAGTCATCTGTGCAGAAATAGGCCTGGGCCGGCATCACTTCCTCTTTCTGCTTCTCCATTTCCTAACGACGTCAACATAAATAGGAAGCCTGAGAGGCTCTCTGCCGCCTGGAGACTCCAGCAGAAGGTTGATCCGTCCCACCATAAAGAGGTATGGGCTGGCTTTCCGGTCAGGCTGAAGGGTGTGGTGGGAGCAGGGGAGCTTGGGAGTCTGGATGGAAAGGACCAGGGGAGCCCAAGGGTGCAGGTAGGTAGGCAGGTGTGCTCTGGGGACTTGGGGTGGGTCGGGCTTGGCCTCTTGGGGAAGACCTGAGACCTGACTCCCTGGGCAGCCAGTGGCTGGAGAGACTGCCAGGGGTGCTGCCTTGCTTGAGTGTGTGTGTGAAGGACTTTGGGGGGCAGGCCTCCCCGGCAGGGTCCAGCTGTCCTAGCAGCAGGGACCATGCCTGGGGTGGCAGAGAGCTCAGGCCTAGGAACCAGACCCAGAGCACTTCGTTTAGTCTCTGAGCTGTGGGTGACAGGGAGAACCCCCCCTCCCCCCGCACTTCTCTCTTCATCTCTGGAATGGGAAGAGTACTGATAGGCTCTGACATCCTGGTTGAGAAAGAGAGAAAAAAATCTGTGCATGAGTGTGCGTGTATGTGGCATCCGTGCGGATGCAGGGGTGTGGAGAAACCGCGAGGCGGGGAGTGAACCTGGAAGTTTCCCTGCTTGGGCCCAGAGCTCAGGGCAGCTTTGGAAGCTCCCTGTGGAAGATGAGAGGGGGCCCAGTCCCTTGCCCAGAGGCACATCTTTCCCCCTCAAAGAATGTTTTTTTACAATCACAGTCCAGCCTGAACTGCTATGGCTTAGTCAGAGTTAGGCCCCAGGTGCCCTGGCTGGGTGGGAGGGCATCTAGGGGCATCTGCATAGGGTGCGTGCAGGTGTGTGACTGCCCCTGGGTGGGAGAGCGTGTGGGTTCCCACCAGACAGGCTGACAAGTTGCACAGGTGCAATTTTTAGTCTGCAAAGGCCTTGTCATGTATTTGCATAACCAGATTCTACTTCTCTCTGCTTACCGTCTTCCTGCTTTCTAATAACTTTAAATGAGTAGCACCTTTCCAATTAGCTTTTGGTCTCTCTTTCTTCACTCATCAGTTTTACTCATGTTGTGTTATGGCCGCCAATACTACAGGGTAGTCCATGACTTGTTTAATGAGCATACTTAATATTAAACAAGTAAATATATGAATATTTGCTTTATTAGCAATTAGAATGTTCCAGAATTATGTATCATAAAAGACAAAGTCCCAATCATCTCTAGGCTCTGGTCCCCACTCTCCACCATATGTATCCTTCCAAAACCTTTTCTAAGCACGCTACAAGTCTATTGTTTTTCTTTGTACATAAATGAAATTATAACATACTTATTGTTTATACCTACTACTTTTACACCTACTATTACATTTTGACTTGTTTCTTGTTTTATACCTACTATTACATTTTGGACAACTTTCCACAATAATACATATGGATTTAATTCATTTATTAGCCATAAGGAACATGTGGCATTTATTATTAGTATGGGCACACATTATTATTAAATAATGTGGCATTTATTATTTAGTACTGGGTAAATAAATAAAAAAAGTATTTACCCAGTCCCATATTCATGGACACTTAGGTTGTTTCCAGTTTTTTCACACTTGTGAAAGTGTTTCTGCAGCCCTGATTCCTAGAAGCAGAATCGCTGGGCAAGAGATTGCATGTTAAAAAGTTTAATAAGTATTATCAAATCATTCTCAGAGTGGCTCAATTAACATATACCCCCACAGTTATGCATAAAAGGACTAATTACTCTTTAGGGAAATGATTAATCTTTGAATTGTGTCCAGCGTAATGGATGAAAATTACCTGGTTCTTGCTTGGATTTCTCTTTGCCCCAATTGTGGGTGAAGTTGTGCTGCATCCATATATTTATTGGCTACTGGGGTTTCTTTTATCATGTGTGTGGAAATGTATGTCCTTTGTCCATTTGCTGGTGGTTTCTCTGTCTTACATACTCACTGTAAGAGCAATTCATTTATTTTGTATATTACCAGTTTATTTATGTGTGTTGAAAACATATTCTTCCAGATTATCACTTGTTTTTTTTTTCCTTTACCATATTTAAGGTATCTTGTTTCATATAAAAATGTGTTAACTGCTTATAAGTCAAACCTGTCATTTTTTTTACTTCATGCTTTCTGCATTTGGTGTATTGTTCAACCCCTAAGATTAAAGAAACATTTGTAATGCTTTTGTCATTTTACTTTTGACTTGTAGATCCTTAATCCATCTAGAATTTGTGGGGATGGTCAATATGTAAAATAATAATACGGCTTTAAAATGACTAGCTTCTTTCTCAATATCATTAGCTAGGAGCATGCAGCCCATTCTTCCCTCAGTGATTTGAAACAACACTATTATTTCCCAGATCCCCACTTGATGACTCCCTTACTGTTTTTTGTTCCATCTGTTTGCTATCATATTCCTGACTATTTTCTAAGAGAGCAAATCTCTCATGTTTGGTTCGTTATAACCTAGAATCAGTTTGTCACACTCATCAGAAATCCTCTGGGAATTTTAATTTAGATTGTATTGACTTTGGAGACTATTTGGAGGAGGACTCACTGCTGCGGATGACAGTGGGGGGCAGGCTTCTCCTGGGTGTGCCTTTAGGGGAAGGCACGAACATTTCCCTGTCTCAGATGTGGCCACAGGTTTCTAGCAGAAACCGAGAAATATCCAGGTTCCCTTCAGTGTCTCATTTGCCAAAGGGTATTTGTTTTTGTTCAATCAGTAATGGCATTTGTATTATCAGCTATTTAGAAGCATCTTCAGAGTAAACTTATCCCTTTTTTCCTTTTAATCTGTTAATCTATTTCTTTTAATCATGAATAGATTTCAATGGCTGTCCATCCATTTTTGGAGTAACCCTACGTGGCCATCCATGATGCATTCTTCTTTCTCAAGTCTTTGTCAGGTTGTCCTATGCATTGTTTTTGTCTGGACTGAATTTGAGTTTTGCCTTTTATTTTTTATCTCCTACCATTCAATTTCTTCATGAGTTTGGGAATGTTGATGTGCGTGGTTGTTTTTTTGAGTGAGAACGTGTTTGGTTTTTCTCTTCTCGTTTCGCTCCCTCCCCCACCTCACCCTCCCTCTTCTTCCTCCCTGTCACCCGTCCTCTGGCTCAGCCTACACTTAGTGATTTTTAACCTCTACATTTTTTACACACGCATTTAATTCATATTTTCCATTAGCAATTGAGCTTAATTAATACAACTAAGCTCTTCCACAAGGCAAGATTCTTTGTAAGCTTTCAGTTCTCCTCTGCTTTCCACTCCCAGACTCACTGCCAACTCCTATCTGAAAATCATCTGAGTTTTACTTCAATATTGTTCTCATGTACTTATTTACTTTCACCTTATACAGTAACAATCCTTCCTTACATAATGGTAAGTCTTACATTTCTTACCACTGATTCCAGTATAATACGCTGTCTTTCTTTCTTGGACTTTTTTGTTTTCTGAAATACATCCTAAAGTAACTTTCTTTCAGAAAAGAAAAACTTTCTTTGTCAATACATTTCCAAATATTGTGGGTTTTTGCCCTTGAACTTAAAAGTAAGCTTGGCTCTTTATGATTCCAGGTTTAAACACATTTTCCTCAGTATTTTCAAGACATCACTATTTTTTTAGAGTTCAGGGTCACTTGTGAGAAAGTCTTGCCACCCAGATTCTTGTACAATTGAAAACAACCTGTTTTCTTCTGGGAGCTCCTAGGATCACCCGTTTATTGGATGACTTAAAGTTCACCAGCACATGACTGAGAACAGCACCTTTAAAAATGAATCCCGCTCTTCACCTAGCAGACTTTTGTCTCCTTTAAAGCCCTGTGAAGTTTTCTTCTATTCCAATTGTATCTCGTATCTTGGTTGCACATGAAAAATCCCCAAACAACAGTGGCTTAACAATATATGTTTATTTTCCCTCACATAAAAGATGTCCAGAGGTAGTCAAGTCTTGGGCTCATGTTTGTTCCACAATGACAAGAGGGATCCAGGTTCCTCTCTTTCCGTTGCATATGGCTTGCATTCCCAAGGTAACTTTATGTCCAAAATGGCTGCTGGAGCTCCAGCCTTCACTTGCAAGTTGCAGCAGGCTGGAAGGAGGTGAAAAAGCAGAAGGGTAAAAATGGACCCCTCCTACCTGAGCCAGATCCCTTTAAGCAGCCTCTTTTGGAAGGTGCACCCAATGCTTCCACTCATCTCTCTTTGAATTACATTTAGTAATATGACCATACCTAGTAATAGGAGAGTTTAGGAAATAAAATAGGAAATTTTATTCTGTGTAGCAATAAGCCCACCTAAAACTTGAACTTCTATTACCAGGAGGAAGGGGACAGATAGTAGCTGACACTGTCTGCCATACCTGCCTTCAATTCTTTCCGCCCTCTGCTTCTAGATCTTGAAACTACTGGATTTCTTTTCCAGGCCTTAACTCTTCTCTGTTTCCCATCTCCTCACTCATTCGCTCTGTCTTCAGTATCTGCCTTTGTAACATGAATATTTGTGGTGTTCATTCTGTGATTTGGCCCATTATTGAGTTTTGTTTTTTACTATTATGAATCTCATTCCTTCAAATACCAAGAACTCTGTTTATTTGCTCTTTTGCATAGTAGTCTGTTATTTTAAATGGTAATGATTTCTCAAATCTCCCTGAGGATGCTAAATATGGTGTTTAAAAGTTTTGTTTTTGCTGTATTTGTGCATGTCTGTAGAAGTGTCTGCTCGGTCAGTTGATGTTGGAATGGACACATATAATACCAGTGATTGAGAAATACAGCCACTAATGGTTAAGAGCTCAAATTCTAGAGCCAATCTGCTGTGGGCTTCAGTCCCAGCCTGTCCCTGTGTGATTGTGGACCTTATGCCTGTTTTCTCATCTACGAAGTGGGGATTCTAATTGTAACCTATACATTGGTGTACTAAAATCTGTAAAGCCCTTCGAACAGTGCCTGGCTCATGGTAAGCATTTTGTAATTGTTAGGCACTAATATGAATTCTCTGTGTGTATGTGAATTTCACACCTGTGTCCGTTGGACGCCATTACTGTTTTACTCATTTACAGTGTGAAGTCGGAGATCTGTTCTCTGTAATTTTGGCACCAGCTTTGTTTTGCACTTTGTCCTTTGCTTTGTGATTTGGCAATTTTTATAAAATATAGATGATTTCATTTTTCTGTGCTTTTATCCATCATCCTTAGTGTCTCTGGTTTCTTCTGCTTTTAAGCTTAAATAGTTCCACTGCATTCATTCCTATGGTTTGCAAGTTAAATATGAGTTAACTTCATACATTTAAATTTTCAATGAACCTGATATTTTGGGAATAGTGTGAGATAGGCATTTAGCTTCATACATTTTTGGTTGTTACTCTATTATCTTAGCACTTTATTACTTCTTCACATTGATTCATGAATCTTCCTTCATCCTGTAGTATATTCTTGGGTAAAATAGAGTTTATCTGGACAGTATGTCCATGGATCTCTTGTGTGTGTGGGATGGAAACCCCCTGCTTTATTTATCGATCTTTGTCATAAATTTTGCTACTGGGTAGAGACTCCTTGTTTTTAAAAATCTCATTAACTGTCCTCACACTTATCTTTTTTCTTTTGAGTTCTTGCAAAGCACATCTTGTTAAATATTGATTGGAACTGTGCTAAAACTATAACTTATTTTGGGAAAAACTGCTCTCTTACATATTTAGTACTTCTCCTTGTGGGAAGATCCAAAGAGAGGCTCTGAATTTTTAGGCGGATCCCAGAGAGGCAAACCGAGCTCCCAGCCCACCCAGGCTCTCCCACACCTACCCCAGGGGCACTGCCCCGTTGGCAGGAGCGGAAGTGGAGAGATACTCTCCCCCACCTCCAGGCAAACCTGCGCTTCTTCCCTGAGCCGCCATCACACTAACCACTCTATGAGCATCATCACGTTTGGTTCCCTTCACAACCAACACGCAAGATCTGTGTACTTGTGCCCACTTTACAGATGGGGAGATGACGTTCAGGGAACATTGGTGAGTTAGCCCAGGTCACGGGCATGGGAGGCACAGAGCCTCTGTTGAAGATCAGGCTGGCTCAGCCAAGAGCCATACTTTTCTCAGAAAGACAGCTGCCACCACTGCCGTGTGTGTGTGTGTGTGTGTGTGTGTGTGTGTGTGTGTGTGTGCGCGCGCGCACGTGCACTCTCATGAGTGTGTGAGTGCAGGCATACAAGCATCTTGAGTGAAGTTTCAGTCAAACTTGCAGAACAGAAGGAACCACAGTCCCTTTGCTCCTTGCCTGGGTACTTCCCAGGGCCGAATGAAATGAAAAGAGGAAACCCCCAACCTTCTGCGGAGAAAAGGGAACTGGCCTTCAGAGAGCAGTGTGGGAAGATGACTGTAAACACAGCCGGCCTGTGTGGGAGAGCCTGCGGGGGGTCACACACAGGGATGACAGTGCCACCCCAAGGCCCAGTGACTCCCCAGAGCAGATGCGGGTCAAGAGCTCAGGACAAATCAAACAACCGGGCCTCTCTCAGGCTTGCCCATCACCAGGGCATTGCCCAGGGGCCCCTGGGGGACCACTTCTCAGGGGCCGTTCAGTGGCCCTTGCGGTCCTCCCCCAGGCGCTGAGGGGGAGGGGACGGGACCATTCAGGTGCCCGGCTGAGGCAACAGTGTGACTAGCCAAGGCACCAGGGTCTCCCCTGGGTTCACCCCACTCCTGGACTGAGTCCCTGAGGCCTCAGGACAGGGAGGGGGCAGCTCCCAACTGACATCTCTGCAGGCCTACAGGAGGCAGCGTCCTGGAACAATGATTCAGAAGAGCCGATGACCCGGACATGGGTCGGGCCTGGCCTCCAGCTGGGGAGGAGGAGGAAACGCCGGGGCCAGTCCACACCTGGACTATGTGAGCGGGTGACCTACCCACCCACCCTGACCCAGAGATGGCGCTGCCCCAGAGGCTGCTCTCCGTTGCCCTGCTGGCCATGTACTGGGGGCCCAGCACTGCAGGGGCCCAAGGTGAGCCCCGCTGCCCCCTCCCGGGCCCAGGCCCCGTCCTCACCGCTGGGCCCTGTGGGCTAGGCTGCCCCCTAGCATCCCCCAGGAAGCTCCCGGACCCCAGCGCCTGGACCTCCCCCACCTCCGGCCCCCTCCGGCCCTCCTCTCTCCCTGATCTGCCTGGTGCCCCTCTTTCCTCCTCCCACACCCCTGCTTATCCTTCTCTGGTCTCCAGTATGGCCTACTCCCCTTCTGTGCTGCCTCTGCCCACATTTCTAGTGTGGCATTCAAGGCCTCTCACCTCCAGGCTAACCGCTCCAGCCTTTTCTCTGCCCGTCCTTCTGCCCCAGACACTCCGCTCCTCCTACAGCCTTGCCCAGTTCCCCACCTTTGCTCCTGGGGACTCTCTGCCTGGGCCCAGAAACCTCCTGCTTGGAGGCCCAGCTGGGGTGCTCCCTGGGCCCCTGAGGCCCGTGAAACCTCCTCCCTGAGGGCTCCCACCTGACTTCTCTGGTAATTGTGGTGACCACAGTCACTTTTCTAACCATAGGACTGGCAGCTGACCCAGAGGCCAGGGTAGGGAAGCCCCAGGGTGAGGCTCTGCCACGCTGCCTCCCAGGGGTGGTTTGTGCCTCTCCTCCCAGGCCGCACTGCGGGGCCCCCAGCAGGGTCTGTGCTGGATGCGTGTCCCTGGCCTGGGGTGAGAGGGAGACCCTGTTCCAGGAACAGGGGCACAGCAGGGGCTCAGGAAATGTGCTGTGAATCGACCAGAATATTGTGCTTCTATCCAGGGGAGGGTCCACAGCCAGGACCCTCCCCCTGCAGAGCCCCTGGCCCCACCCCTCACCCCAGGGACCTCTGCCTAGCAGCCAGGAGCCTCTACAGGATTCTAGAAGACCCTCCTCAGTGCCAGGCACCCCAGAGGGGCTGTAAGGGATGGTGGCAAGGGACATCTGGAGGGGAGATGTGACCCCCTTCCTGCCTCTCTCCTGGTCAGAGACGGTCCCTCTGCAGACCCTGAGCTGCCATAACGACTACACCAGCCGCATCGTCTGCAGGTGGGCAGACACCCAGGACGCCCAGCGGCTCATCAATGTGACCCTGTACCGCAGGCTGAATGAGTGAGTGACACTGGGGGCAGCGGGCAGCGCTGGGGTGTGGGGCTGTGCAGGTGGGGGCTGGACGGAGGACAGAGTTGGGGAAGCCCCTGCTGGGCCAGGTTTCTGGGGCACCTCTGGCTAAAGTTGCTGCAGCTGGTGGTGAGGGTGAGGATCTTCTCCTATTTCACCACAATGTAACAGAATGGCCCCACCACAGTCCATGTTAGTCCATCTTCCCTGAGAGGCTGGTGGGGGGGTGTAATGCCCACATGAGGAAGCCAAGGCCTCGGAGATGAGGTCCATCTCCTGGGACACAGTGTGTGAGTGCCCCTGGCCTGCAGGGCTGGGCTCCCCATCTTCTGAGGCCCTGCCGCCTCCATAGTGGGGTTTCTCCTTTCTCCTCACATGGGGTCCGGGGCATGTGCCACTGGGGAAGGTGCCTGGCACCCTTCTGGGGGTTGGCCGCAGTCTCACTCACCATACTAGGAAGAATGAAACAGCTGGCGTCACGGGCACAGAGAGACCACGTGCAGCTGGGAGTGTGAAGCTGGCTCAGCACACCCCGCAGCACTGCTGTTGGGCTCCCTCTGCTGCTCTCCTGGGAGCCTCCCTTCTCCCCTCAGCCTCCCCCTCAGCCGTGCCTACTCCCTCCTGCACCTCCCGCACCTCCCTGTCCACCCGGCAGGCAGCGATTCCATCCCAGGCCCGTCTGTGCCACTGCAGGGTCCCACCTGGTTTTGCTGCTCAAAGACAGCAGTGCTCCACAGTCCCCAATCCCCCCCATGCCACTGACAGGCCCTCACCCCAGGGTCATTCCCAGTCACTGAGCAAACCTGCCCGACCCCACTCACAGGTGCCAGCCGAGGCAGCAGCTCCAGGTGCCTCCTGACCCCGGGCGCCTCTGGCGGGGCCCAGCCTCTGCTCCCCTGTGAGGCCACTGCTTGGAAGAACTGTCTAGACCCTCCACAGGCAGTGTCTTTCTAGCTATTCTGAACCGGCTCCCAGGATCCCTCTGCCCCCACCAGACCACCTGAGCTGCCCCTGCGGAAGGCGGCAGAGCCCTCCTTGGGCTAAGGCTGCGGCCAGTCCCAGCCTTCCCCTCCTGAGCACCTCCCTCTCCTGACCTCTGGCCACCGCACTCACCCCTTCACCGCTGTCCCCTTTTGTACCCTGATCAATGGCAGAGACGCAGCCACGGGCTCTGGCTGATGACTCTCACATGCTTTCTCCAGCCCAGCCCTCCCCCTAAGCTCCACACCCATGGGTGCTCTTGCCTCTCCACCTGTGCCTCAGATAATAGGCGTTTTCCACCCCCACTGTCTTGAACCAAATTCCTGCTGTGCAGCTGCTGATCTCCCACCGCACTTCACCAAATGGGAGCTCCTAGTGGCTCAAGCCGCACAATCGGGAGGTTTGTTCTGGTTGTTTAATCTCCTCCCCCACCATTCCCTCCCCATCGGAGCCTCTAATCCATCAGCAAAGGCTGCCAACTTTATCTCCGAACAGAAAGTGACTCTGGCCAAGGCTAACACCACCACTGTGCTCCAAACACTTCCTGTCACTGGATAGTCCAGAAGCCCCCCAGCTGGTCTCCCTGCTCCCAAAATTGCCACCCCCACCCCCAACCCAGTCTACCTTCCCCAGCAGCCAGAGGAATCCTTGCAAGCTTGTCACTCCTTTGCTCGTAACTCTCTACATTTTCCCTACTTCCAGGGAAATCCAAAATCCTTAAATTCTTTTCAAGTCCTGGCCTCCTATATCTTAGCTCTGCTGGTGTCCTAGACCTCCCACCCCCATATACTTCACTCCATGCCCACTGCTTAGCTGCCCGGCCCACAACACACCAAACCCAGGCCTGCCCCAGGGCCTTGGCACTTGCTGAGCCCATTTCCTGAAATACGCCTTCCCCAGAATTTACATGACTCCTACCCTCCCCTCCTTCAAGTTTCTGCTCAAATATTGCCTCTTCCATGAGATTTCCTCTGTCTCCTCTATTTTGAGGCATATCCCGACCTGGCCTCATCCCCCTTCCCCACTGTGCTTGTCCAAGTAAAGTTGCCTCTGTTTGACACACGGCGTATTTTACTCAGTTGTGTCGGGTGTGTCTCCTTCACTGGGATGTGCGCGTCACAGGCAGAGATCTGGGTGTGCTCTGTTCACCGGCCCTGGACAAAGCCTCGCACATGGAAACCACTCAGTCATGCTTGTTGAATGAGAGCTTCTTGTTTGCTCTGGGCTGACCTGTGTCCTCTCCTGGCAGGGGCCCTCCGCAGCCAGTGTCCTGCAGTCTCAGTGACGACATGCCCTGGTTAGACGCACCTTGTCCGGGCTGTGTGCCCAGAAGATGCGTTATTCCCTACAAGCTTTTTGTTGTTGCCGATAAAGACTATTTCTCATTCCAACCAGCCCGGACTCTGGAAACCCAGCTCACTGTGAATCTGACCCAGCACGGTGAGGCCCGGGGCCCCTGTTCAGGGGTGGGCTGTATGGACAGTGGGCCCCTGGGGTGACCAAACCACAGGAGGCAGGCCAGGGACTGAGAGTCTTCAAGGACAGGAGACACTGGCTTGGGCTGCGGTGGCCTCTTGGGGGAAGAGAATGGGGTCTCCTTATGATGGAGGCATTAGAGCAGGTACAATATAAAAAGCCTCAGTTAGTGGGACCTCCTCCTGGTCCTGGCTGCTCCACCACCTGCCAAGCCATTGCTTTCCAGATATGAAGGCTTCACTTCTAGAACAATCCTTCCTATTCAGATAGAGACTTTATTGCTTGAAAACTCAATATGGTCTCACCCAGGGTCTGCAACAATGCATTGGATAGAGGAGGTGCTTAAGTCTGAAGAGGGTATGTAACTTTTCTAATGTGCCACCACTGAGCAGACATGGCAGGGATGGGGCAGACCTACCAAGTATCTCCTGCGCGTGAGACATGGAGTCATCCCCTCAGTGCCTCCTCTGCGTGGCTCCCAGTGTGGGCACCGTGTGTTCACAGCTGCCCATGAAACGATCAATGGTCTTGGGGGTAGGGTATTGACAATGATTTTATATAAATCATTAGGCCTCATTTGACTGTATATTAGACAGAAAGTATCCTGTAGATGGCTGGCTTTCAGGAAACACTGCCTGAAATTATTTAACCGTTACAGTAGCGGTGGTATTATGCACTCATTTTTAACCCCTTCATTGACCATGAAACTGAGGCTGAGAGCAGGAACTTGCCCAAGCTTTCTCGGATGCTGGTGTCAGACTTCAGTTCCTGGTCCCCAGATACCAAGCCATGCTGCTTCCTGCAAGTGTCAGGTGGCAAGGGGGCTCCAGCCTTTGCTTCCTGACTCTTTTGATCCTGGCAGCACAAAGCTGTTGCCAGGTAGAGGGAATGGGGTAGGCCACGATGAATTCATTTCAAACAATGTCTCAAAATGTGTGCTTGATGAGAGAAAGAGTCCCGTCTGGGTGGGGCTCAGGCTGGGATCACTTACTGAAGGCAGGTGCATGCCATGTGCCGGGGGGGTAGTGGGCAAGGAGACCCTGGGGCTGAGGGCTCCCTGGAGGGAAGAGCTTTGCAGGAATATCTGGAGGATGGGTGCAAGAAGAGAGTGGGAACAGCTTTGCTGGCAGAGGAACCAGCATGTGCAAAGGCTGGCAGACTCGGGTGGAAGGGGCAGGTTGGGAAACTGCTAGTAATTGTGTCCCAGGAACATCAGCTTCGAGAGGACTGCACAGCAGGAAGGAGGTCAGTGCAGCCAGGAGAGGCTTCTGCATCCTGCAGAGGAGTTTGGAGGTCCACATCATCTAAGCAACTGGGAGCCACTGCAGGCATGACAGGATTGGATGTGGGCATGAGGATGCCAGAGGTGAATGATGTTCAGAGTAGATGGCAGGGGACAGGAGATGGCAGGAGGCTGGAACCCAAACTGTGACCTAGGGTGCTTGTTCCAGGGAGAAATGATGAGGATTTAGCTGGATATGGCCAGGGGATGGGAACATGGAGGGGGATAGAAACCACAGTTGAGACATAGATGCAATTCATTCATTAATGTGTTCTTCCATTGAGCGCCTACAAGTACCAGGAGAGTAGTGAGCAAGCCGGTCAGTGGCCCTGCCCCTGTGCAGCTCATGGCCTGGTAACAGGGAAGGCATCCAGGTGTAGATGCAGACAACGGAGAACTGGGGAGGGGAGTGTGGCATTTGCCCCCTAGGGCGTGTGTTCAGTAGAGAGGTAAATTCCAGCCTTAGCCATCTTGGCAATACATCAGAGAGGCTGGGAGATGCCATGGAAGGGACAGATGTGCATTTGATCTGCTCTTAGGCTCCCACATGTGGAGACCTAGATATTTCACCTCCTCTGTCAGTTTCTCCATATGTGAAACGAGCCGGTCGACTTAAACCTCTCAGGTTGGATGAATAGGTTTCCAGTGGGGTTCCCATTCAGTTCAGTTCGTAGCAGCTTCCTAGAGCTCCAGGCTGAGAAGGACTCCCTGTACAAGACAGGCTCAGGGACTAGGAGTGCCATGGTTGGTTGGGATGCCTGCTGTGGCTGTGGGTGGGAAAAGGGCAGCCTGTGCCTGCCATTCTGAGCTTAAGACTTCCCAAAGGCTCCGGTTCTGTCATGCTGTCACGCGCCATGTTCCCTGTACAGCACAGAACATTTACATCTTCTTTGGGCTCTTACTGAATTTTTTTTGTGTTTGAAAGTCATGTCTCAGCATTCAGATGTAGAAACTTCAGGAGTCAGGAGCCATGCCATTTCTTAATGAATCTGCTCACCCAACCCTGCAGGTCCCAGAGATGTAGGCTTGCTGTTAGTTGATGGAATGACTTCATGGAAAGTCTCTGAAGGCTGCCTACATGTATTCATTCAATTATTCATTCAATCATTCATTCACTTGTCCCCAGATTCACTGAATCACTATATCTCAGCTAGAGAAGGTGGTCGAATTTCAAACCCTGCCTCTCCCAAGCTCCTGGACTGCTTGGGGAGGCAGATGTGGAAACATACATAAATCCACCAGGGTTGTAAGGGCTATGGTGGGACAGGAAAAGGAGCAAGGGGTTCTGCCTGTGGGGGGGAAATCCAAGAAGGCTCTAGAGGAGGAGACATTTCTGCTGGGCACAGAGAGGAGCAGGACACTCAGATGGGCAGGAGGAAGGGAGAAGGGTGCACAGCAGGACAGGGAGTGACACGGGTCCCAGGGCTGTCTGCTGGGCGGGAGGCCACAGGGCCACATCCTGGGCAGTGGGGGCCCTGAGGACAAAAGGAGGGCACATTCAGTTTAATTGCCAGCCCCTTTTATGATACATGGGCGCTGCAGTCTGCACAGATTTCATTTGCATTCGCTTCGAATCCCCATGATTTTGCAGATGAAGGCCTGAGGCCCACAGAGGAGAGGGTCTTGTCCAAGGTCACACTGGTGGTGGGGGCAGCCCCTGGCCTGGAACCCAAGTCTGTTTGCACAAAGGCTATGCAGGCCCTTCACTGACCCCCCGCCGTCCAGCCCTCATGGGCCCTTTATTTCTGCTCCCTCCAGTGCGGCCCCCCACGCCCGAGGACTTCCGCATCACTGCTGCCGGGGACCGTTTCCTGCTCAACTGGAGTGTTGCCCTCGCGGGTTCCCAGAGCCCCTGGCTGTCAAACCTGGAGTTTGAGGTGGTCTACAGGCGGCTTCAGGACTCCTGGGAGGTAAGCACCTCGGCCAGCTCTGCCCCAGCTGCAGGGACCCGCCCGGCCGGCCCCGCCTCCAGCAGCCGCTCTCTCCCCACAGGACGCCCCCGCCCTCTACTCCAGGTCCTCCCAGGCTATCCTGGGCCAGGAGCACCTCATGCCCAGCAGCACCTACGTGGCCCGAGTTCGCACCCGGCTGGCCCGGGGTTCGGGGCTCTCGGGTCCGCCCAGCAAGTGGAGCCCCGAGGTTCGCTGGGATTCCCAGCCGGGTAAGGGAGTCAGGCTTGGGGCAGCGCCCCTCTGTGGGAAGGGCCGGTCATTACAGCTCCTGCATCGAGGCGTCCAGGAGGTCACAGGGGGGGACTCCACAAATCTTCTTCCCTGACCAGGCCCATCCGTGTGACTGAGGCAGCAGCTGTGGCTTCCTCGGGGCTGGGCCCCTTTCTGCCTAGTGACAGTGACAATGATAACACTATGAGCAGCTGTTTTCATGAGGGTGAGGTGCAGACGTACCAATGCTATTGTGTTAGATCCCCGACACGGAAACTAGATACACCCCCCACCCCATTCTACTCAGGGTGGGTGTGAAGGTCCACAGAATTCACTCTGACCTGTGGTCACACAGCTGGCAAGTTTATGCCAAGTTCAGCCCCTGGTCTTTTTGGCCCCCAAACCCGTGATCTCTCTGTGATGAGTCTCATGGTGGGCCCCTGAGAGCCAGGGAATGAATGAAGGAGGGAATGAGTGAGGGACTCTCCCCCCTCCCAGGGGACGAGGCCCAGCCCCAGAACCTCCAGTGCTTCTTTGATGGGGCTGCCACGCTCAGCTGCTCCTGGGAAGTGAGGGCCGAGGTGATCAGCTCGGTCTCCTTCACCATCTTCTACAAGCCCAGCCCCAACGCAGCGTGAGTGTCCCCTTTCTCTACCCCTCTCCCCATCAGGTCTGGCCCCCTCCGGGCCTCCTGCCGCCTTTGGGGGCCCCAGTGAAGCCACAGCTCACCCCAGGTTCTCATTCCTCTCACTGTCCCCGCCTCCCCTGTGCTCGCATCCCTGGTGATCCCCAGGGAGAAGGAGTGCTCCCCAGTGCTGAAGGAGGCGTCCGGCAGCCCCTACATCCGGCACCGATGCCAGATTCCTGTGCCCGACCCCAGGAACCACAGCCAGTACACCATCTCTGTCCGGCCAAAGAAGGAAGAGAAATTTATAAAGAGCTCAGAGAACAGTGAGTTTGCCCCCAGCCTGTTACGCAAGGGCTCTTGTGACAGCACAGCCTCATTGTGCAACCTGAATAAGCTCGGGGTTCTTCTGCACCCAGTCTTCATGTTTATTACTTTCAACAAAAAGCAGTCCAGTGAGTGAAGGGAACAGAAGTAATCCGAAGCTCTTCTTAAAGTTTTCAACACAATGGCAAATAATACGAAGGTGGAGTCCATTGATATTCCTCAGGATCATGTTTTCAAAGCCTTTTTTCTTTCATTCCCTGCTTGGAATTTCCTCTTTCAGGTTTCCACAGCCCTCCCCTGACTGATGTTTTCAGTCTTCAAAATAATTAATGTATGACCTGCTTCTCCAGTTGGGGGTCGGGGGTGTGCAAATAAATTGTAGTTCCTTTCAGATTAATATTCCTGGTTCCTATTTTGTAGCGAGGGCCCCATACAAAGGCACCTCCCACACTGCTTCCCAGTGACCAGGGTCTCCACCCTAGTCTAGAGTGTGTGTCAGAGGCAGCAGCTAACTTGCCTTCTTCCCGGGGTTTGAGTCCACCACTTACTCTCTGGGGATCTGCCACGTTTGCAATCTTTGTCTCGGTCCCTTGTTAACTGCCTGCCCTTGGCAAGTTACTTAATCGTTCCAGGACTTTAGTTTCTTAGTCTGTAAAATGCGACAAGCTACTAGCACCTCCCTTGTAGAGTTGTTAGAATTCAGTGAAATCATTCAGACAGTTTGAGCATGTACCACACGGCCAGTACTCTAGCACAGAATCAGTAGTGATTTTATTTTTACTCACATACCATGGGGAACCCCAGCTTTGGGTCACCTCATGATAAAACAAGTGAACCTCAGCATCTCTGAAGAGGAGGGCTGTGCATGTCAAAATAGATGATATGCTGCAGTCGGGGTGCAAAGACCTAGAGCCGGGCAGGACCTGGGCCCAGGGCCGGTGGAGACAGCGCCTGTGGCCGGCATGGAACACAAGCAATGTTCGCTTAGAGCAATGCTATGAATGATGTTCCCTGAAAGTTTCCCTCCCTCCAGTCCAGATGGCACACCCAACCCTCAATGTGACCAAGGGCAGAGATGGCTACGTCCTGCGCTGGAAAGCGGGGGAAATGCAGTACAAACACATTGCTCACGCCTTCCAGGTCCAGTACAAGAAAGAGGCGGACTCATGGGAGGTGAGGCCTGTGTCCAGGGGGAGCCTGTGGGGCGGGGGAAGGGGAGGGTGGGAAAACAGGCAGAGCAGCACACCTGCCAGGTGCCTGGTTCCCAGCGGGTGACCGGCCAGGAAGTCACTGGGACTTGGTGACTGTGACTCTGTGCAGTTGGCAGGTCACTGTCCCATCCTTGGGTGGAGGGGGCTGAGAGACAGCTGGCTGAAAGGTTTTCGAAAGTCATAAAGGAGACATTTCTTCAGGGATATCTCATCTGGAATACAAATGTGCAGCTGCTTGGAGGCAGGCAGGGCCCCAGCCTGGGGTTCAGTCTCCAGCCCCCACCTCCACGTAGCCCTCAGGGTCTGTGCAGAGCCTGAGGCTCCATGGAGCTGGGATCAGAACCCTGCAGGCTGGAAATGGGGAAACTGAGGCCAGGAGGGGCTGGGTGAATGGTGGAGCTGGGGGTGAGCCCCAGGCTCCTGAGCCCCCATCTCTGAGCCCAGAGCCCAGTGGTCCCATACGGCATTTCCAGGCTGCCCGGAGGAGCCGGGAGGCTGAGGGGTCTCCAGGCGAGCTTGGGACATGGTGGTGCAGGGTTTCTGGGCCTCAGTGTTGTCATGGGTCACAGGGTGCATTGCAAAAGGTGCAGTGCCTGGTCCTGTCTGCATGCCCTCCCCTGTGGACACTGGGGCATGGTCCTCCATCAGGGGCGTGGGGCCGCACCAAACCTGGGGCTGTGGCCCAGCTGGGGGCCGATGGGGGCAGAAGGCTGGAGAGTCGACGTGAGTGGGGTTTGCAGCTGTGCCCCACACACCAGGCAAACCCCTGCCCACACAGGAGAGCAAGATGGAGCCCCTCCAGAACGCCCACAGCATGCCGCTGCCTCCTCTGGAGCCCTCCACCAGGTACGAGGCGAGAGTGAGGGTGAAGCCTGGCCCCAGCGGCTACAGTGGGATCTGGAGTGAGTGGAGTGAGGAGTGCTCCTGGGACACGGACTGGGGTAGGTCTGCTGACCTCCACCCACCTTCCTGGGTCAGTCCCGCGGGCAGGGCACGGGATGATGGGGCGGGGAGATGTGACCCCACCCCGCCCGAGAGCCCTTCCCTCCATGTGCCATGGCAGAGTCACTGGAGAGTGACATCTGGTGTGCAGACAGACTGCAGATGAGGTCCTGAGAGAGCAGGAAGGGGCAGGTCTCACCTCCACTGCTCTCTCAGACTGGCGTTAGCCCTCTATTAATATGACCTAGAGTTTCATTAGCTTTTGTGGCAGCCACCAAGCCAGGGGCTGCTCAGCCCTCCTTTCCTGTTACCACGGCAGCAGACATTAGGAGCTATGGACTGAGACTGGGATGGGGAGGCTGTGGCCCTACTTTCCTAATCTCCCCACTTCCCAACACTGGCTGCTTTCATTTGTCCCTCACCGTTCCCCTCAGTGGCCACCAGGCAACAAGTACGAGACCAGGTCCAAGAGGGGTGGTATAGAGGGGTTGGGGGATGTGTTGGCTGCATGGACCCCAGTCCACAGCCAGCTTTGCAGGGGAGGAGTCCCAGGGAGAGGGCCACAATCAAGCACAAAGGAGGGCTGAACACCAGGCCTAAGGGAAGATCAGAGGTGCCTTGGATGGGCCCAGCTTGTGAGGGGCTTGATGCTGCCCAGGAAGAAGTGTGGGGACTCCTGATGGGCCTTTGCACCTGCTGGTTCCTCCAGCAGCACAGCTTTCCCTTCTCTGCCTATTCAAGCCTCCCTGTCCCCCAGTGCCCAGCTTATGTGCTGCCTCCTTCAGGAAGTCCTCTGTGATTGCCATGGGGCACATTCACTGTCCTCTCCATGGCACCTCCTGCTCCTGGGAAGGATCTGCCCTCTGTGTTCTCCCCAGGGGTGTGGACCAATGCCCTTTTCTTCACCTGTGTCTGGCCCTCCCTCCACCTCTCTCCCCCGAGCCAGTGAGCTCCTGGAGTGCTGCCCCTGCAGCAGAGCATGGCCTGGGAGGCACCAACCTGGGTGCACCTGCCCCCGCGTCCCCATCTCCAGCTCTGTCCCTCCCCAGATGCTAATGCCTCTTTTTCTTTCCTGGGCCTGAAAGTGCTGCCCACGTGGGCCCTGGCACTCACCCTGGTCTTCACCACCCTTGCCTTGCTCCCGGCCCTACGCTTCTGTGGCATCCATGGGTACAGGTAAGGGACCCCATAATGGCTGGCAGGTGGGGGCACCCGAGACCCTAGAGGGTGCCAGGGACCCCACTGCCCGCTCCTCCCAGTCCCTACTCTGCCAACACCTCCCCGCGGGACCTGGGACAAACCCCACCCCCTCCCTGGAGCTCAGTTCCCCTCTGTGAGCACGGGGAGCGGCCCTATGGTCTCTGGTGGCTGTCCCCAACCTGGTGTCTTTCCAGGCTGAACCAGAAGTGGAAGGAGAAAATCCCCAACCCCAGCAAGAGCCACTTGTTCCAGGTAGGGTCTGGCTGTGAGGGCGATGGGGTGGGGGGGGCTTCTCCACTCCTGCCCAAGTCCCCCTCCCAAAGGGCTCCTCCTTTCCTGTGGGCTTTGAGTTCAGAGCGTAGGTGGCCTGGGACAGGGGATGGGAACCTTTAAGAGCCAGGCCAGTACTTACAAGTTCAGCCCTGCCACCCCCTGGGCACCCGCAGATGCTTGTGGAGCAGGAGAGAGTTGAGCAGCAGACACGGAGAGTCCAGGGCAGACTCGGGGAGGGGTTAGTTCTGGTGGGGGCAGGTGTGTTGGTGGGAGGCAGAGTCGCTGCTACAGGACAGGATGGCAGAGCTGAGCTTTGAAGGATCCAGGGTGCTGCCAGGTGGGAAAGGCCACTGCAGGCCGAAGACATGCCGTGTGAGGAGACAGGACCCCTTCATGAAGGAGACTGAGGCGGGTGGCCAGTGAGCCTGGGGGCACATCTCAGGAGGCTGAGGTGACCACAGGGTGGGTGCCAACACGTGGGGATCCGGAGCCCTTGGGTCAGGCCTGTGGAGGGGTCTCCTGGCCAGCATGGAGGGGACTAGGGGATGAGTGTGCAGGCAGCTACACCTGAGATTAGCAGACTCTCAGAATAGGGTCCCCATCTGCGATGCTCAAGGACTCTGGGGCATCCCAGACCCTCGCTGGCCTCCCTCTTCCCGGTATCAGGGGCCCGGGCTGGTTTTGCTCATGCTGAGATTCCTCCTATGCCCGGGGCTCCCCGAATCCCCTGCCACCCCCACGACCTTCCCTTCACCGTCGGTTTCTCAAGGGCCCCCACACCACAGGCACAAATGTCCTTTCTCTTCCCAGAATGGGAATACTGGGCTCCGGCTCCCAGACAGCATGCTAACCCTCACCAGCAGGAGCCCCCCGCACAAGGGCCTGCTCGGCAGCCACTTCCCTGAGCTGGAAGGGTGAGTTCTGGGCATGAACCCATAGGAGGTGGGGGGGTGGCCCCATCACACACATCGGGGGCTCAGAGGAGACGGCCTTTGGCCTGTGGCTCAGTATGGAGAGATCCATGGATGTTTGTTGCCCTAAAGAGGCATCCCAGGTGGGCCTCAGCGAGAGCCTCCTCATTCTCCAGTTCGCAATGTCCTCACCTTGGACTTGACCAGAGGCAGGAGACTAAAGCAGGTGACCTCCTCCTGCCCTGCTGCCCAGGGGGACCCACACTGCCTTGGCCTCATGGGCGGCCAAGGGGCTGCAAACCCTCATGGTCAGCACCTGTGCCTCTAGCTCACCGCTGACCCTCAGGGGAGGTGATAGCACAGCTGGGGAATCAAGGGATGAGGGGACAATAGAGCAGGCCCTGACTGGGCATTGACCTGGGCCCTGCAGCTGGGTGGAGGTCAAGGGGCGTGTGGTAGAGAAAGACCTGGAACAAGAGCACAGAGGCTGGCAGTGATACCCCCAGGAGATGGGGCGACCGTCTGGTGCCCGGCCCTGGGCCTGCTGCCCGCCTTGCCCTCTCTGTGCTCTCTGTGAGCCCAGGCCTGTCCCAGGCCCCTGGGCATGGGCTGAGGCATCTGCCCAGGTGGTCCCAACATCTCTGCACCTGCTCTCCCCGCAGGGTGTCCTCTGTAGACCATGGACGCAGCGAGGTGTCACCTCTCACCACAGAGGACCCTAAAGGTGCCCGTGAGTCACCGCCCGAGCCAGACGTGACCCTGACCACCTCGGACCCTCCCACAGAGCAGCCCCCCAGCCCCAAGCCGGGCCTGTCGGCCAGACTAGGCAAGCCTGAGAGCCAGGTTCCCGGCTTCGACTTCAATGGCCCCTACCTGGGGCCACCACAGAGCCGCTCCCTGCCTGACATGGCAGGCCAGCGGGCGCCCCCACAGATGGGCATGAGCAGGAAGCCACAGCCTTCAGGGTCCCTGGAGTACCTGTGTCTGCCCGCGGCGGGTCAGGTGCAGCTGGTGCCCCTGTCCCAGGTGATAGGACAGGGCTGGGCCAGGGATGTGGAAAGGAGGCCCAGCCTAGGGGCTGAAGGGAGCCCCTCCCTGGAGTCAGGGGCAGACCCCACCCCACCTGCACCTGGGCTGATGGTGGGTGGTCAGGGCCCAAAAGACAGACACAGCCCAAAGGATGTGGTTCCCCCAGCTCTGCCCACTGGCTCTGGGGTCCCTGAGGATGGCATTGTGGCCTCTGGTTATGTCACCACGGCAGACCTGGCACTCACCCCACCCACAGGGTCCCCACCTATCTCCCAGGATCCCCCTCTGGTCCTCTCCTTCGATGAGAATCACAGCCTCAGTCCCGGGCGGGCTGGTGGGCCCACTGGAGCCCTGGCCGCCATGAGGTCTGAGTTTGAAGGCTATGTAGAGCTCCCTCCAACCACAGGCCAGTCCCTCAAGTCCCCTCTGGGCAGTCCTGCCCCTCCTGCAGCCAGCAGCCCCATCTCAAGCCCTGGGGAGCCCCGGGCAGATGCAGCCCCAGCCTCCCCAAACCCTGAGGGGCTCCTGGTCCTGCAGCAAGTGGGTGACTATTGTTTCCTCCCTGGCCTGGGACCTGGCCCTCTCCCAGCCCAGAGTAAGCGCTCTTCCTCAGGACCCTGTCCCGACCTCGGGGACCTCGCCCAGGAGGTCCAGGCCAAGAAGGCCCTGTGCCAGCCCCTTCCACAGGTGCCGGCCATTCAGCTCTTCAAAGCCCTAAAGCAGCCGGACTACCTGCCCCTGCCCCCTTGGGGTGTCAGCAGGCCTGAGGGGGTGTGCTGAGGCCCTCTAGACCCCACCCAGGGGAGTGCAAGGGGCGGGTCTGCCTCCTGCCCTCCATTCTCCCACCAGCCCCTGCTCGCGTCCACCGCCATTTCTGCGAAGCCAAGGTTGAGCCTCCATGCCGGAACAGACGGAGACCAGGAAAATGGGTGCACCATCCACCTTCTCCCTTAAACTTCAGCAAATCACCGCTTCCCTCCTTCTTCTCTCTTCTCCCCATCTCAGATACACACACATTTTTCCTCTCAACTTAACTTAATATTACCTTCTGAATCATTAGAGCTCCATGTATAGCCATCCATTTACCCTCATTTCCTTTTTTGCCAGGTTTTTTGCTGTTACCTTCCTTCCTTTTTCCCTTATTTATTAGTAGAGTGAGTCTGAGGTCTAAGTCAGTTCTGAGATGCCACGTCTCCATCAGAACCTAAACTGATGCACTGTGTTGGATGACTTGTGTCTGTCACTCGTCCCCGGCAGCCGTGAGTGCATGTGACGAGATTCCAGCCCAGGTGCAGGAGGCAGGAGGCACCGGGTGGGGCCTTGAGGTTGAAGGCTTGGAAAAGCAGCCCAGGACTGGGCACGCCTGTGTCGGACACTGCAGCCCAAGCATGGTGGCAAAGTACCCGTCTCAAATGTCACGCCGAGAATGGGCATGGTGAGGGGGGGGTGCCAGGAAAGAAGTGCTCATGAGCTCATGGGACACGCTGCTGGCCTCACCCAGGCCACTGGGGAGCCTCAGGGGCCCGAAGACCCTGCCTCAGGTAGAGGCCCTGAGCTGAGCAGTGGGCAGCGCTGACTCCTGGGTGAAGTGACCTTCCTCCACCCAGGCTGGTGAGGCCTGGGGAAATTCAGGAGGGTAGGGGAGTCCAGAACCCGTGTCTCCTGTACACAAGGTGGGCGGAACTGCTCAACAAAGACAAGGAAACGATCAAAGGGCATGTCCTCTTTAGGGCTTACAGTCCAAATCACCCAGCAGCCACTGTTCCAGAAAGACCTTACCACTCCCACCCCACCAGCCATGTACGAGGGGCTTTCGATCTTATCTGGGCCTACCCTGGGGAATATGGTTCTTTTAAATCTGTGCCTCTCTCCTATGCAAAAATAGCATTAAATTGTTTTAATTCGCATTATTTGGTAACTGTCCAGTTTGCGCACATTTTCCTGTCCCTTGGGTGCTGGTATTTGCTCACTGGGCTGACCCTGCTGAAGGCTTCGTGCTGATGTTCATCTTTTTCTGATTAAGTTTTAAAAACTATGGTGCCCTTTTGTGGCTGGTGCAATTTTTTTTCCTAGTTTGCGGTTTGTCTTTTAATTTTGTACATGAGGCTCATGGGTGTGCACAATGTAGACTTTTCTATTGTCAAATAAGTCTACAGGGGATTGCCTTCAACGGCTCCACTTTTGGTGTCAAATTTACAGAGGCCTTCCCCACGTCCAAACTGCATTTGCCCTCATTTATATTTTTCTAGTTCTTTTTGTGTTTCAAGCTTTTCATGTGAGAGTGTAATGATTGTGGATATGTTTTCTGTAAACAGGTAGCTCAAATGTTCTTACATCATTTGCTAAACCACATGAAATATCAAATGCTACATTTATGATACAGAAAGTTCCCATATGCCCTCAGATCATTTCTAGGCTTTCAACTGTATTATGTTATTCTTCCAATGGTGCCCCACTATTTTGATGTTCAGGATTCACAATATTTTAATAAGTGTCAGAGCAAATGTTCTTGTTATTTTTTGTTCCCAAATCCCTGTTCATTACAACAATGTTTGTGATGGAAGAAAACTCTCAACAGCTTAAATATTCACCCACTGTGAAATTAATAACAGCATCTTAATGCATTCTAAAATAGAATCCTATGTTAAAAATGAATGAGATGGACCTACATGTATTAGAAAGAAACCCAACATATTACTTTCAACATGTTCAGACATGGATACTTGAAAAAAATGGCAATAAAATATTTTTATTGTAAAACAAAACTAAACTCTTAACTTGTGTATCTGTGTCAGAGTAGCTGGGGAGGGATGCTATTTGAAACCACAATTGCATTAAGGAGGATGAATTCTAATTCTGTTCAACACCGTGGCCTTTGGTCTTTGAGACACTATAGTGAGTTTAGGGACAGATTAGACACCACGGGTGTCATCTTACAGAATGAGAAGGAGGTGGAGCTCCTGGGACCACCCAAGAGGAAGGAAGATGGGTGGGGGAAAGGAATATAAGGACATACTTACTCCAAAAAATTCTTCATTATCTGAAATTCACATTTAACTGGGCATCCTTTATTTGCTCTTTAATGAGAGTAGAAAGCAAAGTAAGAGACTAAATCCCCATAAAAGTAGCTGAGAGTTATGGAGAGTTTATTCCTGGCAGGCCTACTCAGATGATTTAGCAGCATCACACACCCCTGCAGCAGACACTACCTTTATCAAACCCTTTCTGCAAGTGAGGAAACCGAGGCATAGAGGTTAAGTAACCTGCACCAGGCCACCAGCCAGTCGGAGGCACAGTCAGGATTGGAACCCTGGCCCTGTGGTTCAGAGTCTGCCCTTGAAAGCAAGGTCTCTCTCCTAAAATTCACCCATGGATGCAAGATGATCCCTGTGGCTTGGCAAGACAGGAAAATCCATAAGCTGAACTAATTCAGCCTGGGGCGGGGGCGGGGGTGGGGGGCGCCGGGAGATGTGTAGCGGGGCAGGACTGAGCCAGAGGTGACCATGCAAAATGTTTGCATTTCTCTGGGAGCTAAATATACAGGAGCTGAAGAAATATGGGTAAAGAAATAAAACAAAAAACTTATCCTAACTAGTAATCAGGTATATTCAACTTAAAATAAGATGCAGTTTTTTACTCATTAGCTTAGTAAATATTAGGAAAAAAATTGACTGATAATATCCAGAATTGGGAAGGGTGTGGGGATTCAAGTCCTCTTTTTCTATTTTTTAATAGGCTTTATTTTTTAATTTTTAATAGACTTGATTTTTTAAGCTGTTCAAGGTTCACAGCAAAACTGAGCAGTCAGACAAAGATTTCTCCAACAGCTCCTGTTCCTACACACACACAGCTTCTCCATTATCCACATCCACCACCAGAGTGGTGCACTCGTTACAATCAATTAACCTACACTGACACAGCATTAGCACCCCAAGTCTATCATTTATATCAGGCTTCACTCTTGGTGTTGTGTATTCTGTGGGTTTGGACAAATGCAGAGTAACATGCATCTACCATATTGCTATCATAGAGAGTATTTTCACTGACACACCTCAAGTACCTAGAACAATGTTCAGTGCATATTTGTGGGATAGATACATTTATTAATATGAGTGGTGGGTAGGTAGGTATCCATTTTACTATTTTTCTTAAGCTTTACCTGTAAGTTTTAGCACTTTTCTGTATGTACAAAACAAGATGGTATAACTTAAAAAAAATTTTTTTTAAATGAAAGAACCTTTAACTAACAAGCAGTATCTAAATTGCTTCAAACAAGTGATAAAAGGAAAAATTTTCAAAGCAGCCAGAGAAAAAAGATATTCCATACATAGTAACAAAGATAACAGCCAACTGCTCATCAAAAGCTATCTGAGCCAGGGGATAACAGAAGGAATGATTGAAAGTGCTAAATGAAAAAAATCCCGCCAATCTCAAATTCTACATCTAGTAAAAATATCTTTCAAATACAAAGGTGAAATAAAGACATTTTTAAACAAACCAAAACTGAGGGAACCATTGCCAACAGCTCTGCACTATGAAAAATATTAAAAGAATCACTTTAGGGTTAAGAAAGAAAAATGATACTAAAGGGAAATTTGAAACTCCGTAAAGGACCTGAGTGCCAAAAAGGATGAACATGGGTCAACATAAATGATTTTTACCTCCATTTAATTTAAAAGATAATTAATTATTTAAAACAAAAATCATAACAATGCTTCATGGGGGTTATAAAATATGTGAAAGTAGAAGTATGACAGCAATAGCTCAAAGGCAGAAGGGGGATAATGGAAATAAATGGATTGGTGAAAGTTTCTTACATATGAAATGGTAAAATATAGTTTGAAGCTAAACTGTGATAGATTAAATATGCCTGTTGACCATGGAAAGCAGGGTGTCTCAACTTGGAAATAGAGACATTTTCTGCCGGATAATTCTTTATCGTGGAGGGCTGTCCTGTGCTTCGGCTGGTGCTTAGTGGTATCCTGACCTCTACCTACTGGATGCCAGGAACATTCCCTCCTCCTACCGGGTATGACACACAAAAATCTGTCCATACACTAGTGAGTGTCTCCGAGGGGGCAAAATCACCCCAGTTGAGAAATACTGTTGTAAAGTTGCCACTAAAAAATTTGTTTTTAATAAAGCAAGTCAAAAGGACATGGTCTTTTAATCCTAAAAGAATGCTCAGTTAAAGCAAAAAACCCAGGAAAAGAGGGAAACAAAGAACACATGGGACAAACGGAAAACAAATAGCAAGATGATAAACTTAAAAGCAACCATATATATAATGATTTTTAAATGTAAATAGCATTAATATTATAATTAAAAGGTAGAGATTATGAAACTATATATATATATATATATTTTTTTTTTAAAGACCTTACTAAATAATGTCTATAAGAAACCACTCTAAAGTTACAAAAAGGTTGAAAGTGAAGTGCGAGGAAACACCTTCTTTCTCTCCCGAGTGTTCCCACGCAGCTTCCGTGCTGGCCTGGGGTCAGGGCAGGCCTGGAGGAGCTCCGGCTGGAGGCGTGGGGGGCAGGGGAAGAAAGATGCTCCTCGAAGGATCACTGTTCCTCGTGTTCTCCACCCACTGCCGCACCTGAGACATCAGGGCCTGGGAAGACGGGCACGGGTGCAGGGTCTGCCCAGGATTGCTGCTGCCTCAGAGCCCAGGAAGTCCCGCTGCTGCCCCATCGCCCACCAGAGGAGCGCAGAGAGGCTCCCACGGCTGATGCTTCCCTGGAGGGTCAAGGTGCATCTGAGCCTCCCGGATCCCTGGATGCCGAGAGCCGAGGCCCCTGGCCAGGCTGCAGTGAGGGGGGGAGTGGAAAATGGAACACAGAAAATTATCAAAAAAAAGTTTCTTATAGACTTATAGACATTCTAATAACTACAGATTTTTAAATATGATCTTTTTAGAAGTAGATTAAAACGTTAAACAATAAAAGATTAAAAGGAGATTAAGAGGTACAATCTTCCAGTTATAAAATAAGTGAGACACTGGGATGTAATGCACAGCATAGGGAATATAGTAAAAAAGTTAAATAATGAAAGATCTAAAATTTAACAATGATAAGAGAGCCTTGAGGGGTGTGTGTGGGGGGGTGTCTTGGGTCCAGGTAGAAGAACCAACCATAGGGCACATTTGGGGTATCCTTTCCTGCCACACAGTTCTGGGGTAATATCAAGAGAAGTAGTGTCCTGGAATGCACAGTTAACTGCATAGCTGGAGCTGGTCTGAGTTCAAATCTCAGCTCTGCCATTTGCTAGCTGTGTGACCCCGGACAAGTTATTTAACCTCTCTGTGCCTCCATTTTCTATTGTGTAGAATGGGGATGATAATAGTCCTTGATCACAAGTTTATTATAAATATTTATTAGTATGCATAAATAAGTTTATTAATCTGTATTAGTATTAGTATATATCTATCTGTTTATATAAACATATTAAGTCTATATAACATTTAAATTTATTAGTAGGTGTATATAAAGCAGGTAAGTACTCACGCTGTGTGACTCAGTTGCGACCATTGCAGGTGCTGCTGGGCATTGCAGGTGTCTCTGGGAGGCCCCATTTCTCAATCCCTGGACAGCAGTATGGAACTTCACAGGGCCCAGTCTCCTCCTAGGGCTTGGGCCCAATCCTGCTTTCTCATTTCATCCACATGTTTTAATTAAATAAGTCTCTAAGCCAGAGCCTCTTGTCCTAAGAATTCCTCTAAGGCTGCCTTGAGGGGAGACACTTCCTGGCTATTTACCCTAAGAAACAACAGGAGGTGGCCTCCGGGTGGAATCCAGCCCCCTCGGGAATGGCTGGCTCTCTAAGCCCGCTCATTGTCAGCCCATTTGTCTTGTTGACATTCTGAGTTTCTGCCAGTTTCTTTTCGATGAGCTGCAGTCCCACTTCAGCCCCATGGGGTCAGAAGGGGAGCTGCCCCAGGGGCTGAGACGGCGGCAGAATGCAAAGCATCCTTGGTGGTATACGAAGCATCAGAAAGGGGACTGATGTAAAGGGAAGAAAAGGGCTGAGTTTCTGAACACGGGCTAAGACAGAGATGTAGCAGTTCTACGTAGGAAAGCCCACGTGGGGTCTCCTTATACTTAGTGGGGCGGGGTGGGAGGTGCGTGTGGAGCACAGTTCAGGTTGCAGATCAAATGATGAGATTTAGGTGGATTTGCAGATAAGGAGCTCACAACAGAAACGCTGAGCCAAAAGAGGATGTTGGAAATAGTCAGGACCTGAGAATTTGCAGGACAGAGCCGGGTTCCCTCCCTGTCCCAGGGCTGGGTGGCTGCCTTTGCCCCAGGAAGCCCTTACTGGGCTCAGCGCTACAGCCTCAATTGGCCTCTACTTGGCTGTGTCACCCGGCGGGTGTCCCTACCTTCCCTGAGCCTCACTTTGAGACCCCCTCATCTGTAAAATGTGGGTAGCAGGTGGCATTTGCCTGTCTGTGCCCTGACCCCTAGCCCCTGCATGCCGGAGGTCCCTCCAGCCCTCTCTGCTCTGCTAATAACCCCACAGGCAGGGCGCAGGGGCTGAGCAGGTCCAAATCCTAGAACATCGTCATCCTAGAACAAACTTCTGGGATTCAAGAGTAAATCTGAAATGTTATCCACCAGAAATGAAACATTGATACAATTTTATTTTTATAAATGATGCCTCCAAACTTTAAATGCTGACGTTTTTCTGGGTAATAACAGCAGTTTCTTAGCGGTGGCTGCAGCACATCACTCCTGCGTTTCCTTCCCTACACTCCTGCAATGCTTAATAAACCCTCCTGTTCAATCAACCCGTGGGACAATATTCCTGATCTTTTGGTGCACGGTAGAACATAATTCATGTAAAAGTTTCTAGCAATATGTTTCTAGAAGGAACTCTGTACTCAGGATGAATGGTTCATTCAGGTTTCCAAAGCCTTCATTTTCAACTTCTAAAACTGGTTGGCAGTCTGTGCAGTCATTTCTACAAGCATTTTGTTTAAATGTAACCCTCAAAGACTCTAAACAATGAGGAATGGTTTCCAAAATAAAAGTGTTTTGTGCAAAGTCTGTTGTTGTTTTGTGGTTTGAATAATTAGAACAAAGTGTGTCTGGGCTTTCTGCTTATCTGTAATACTATCCCCCTCTCTTCGTTCTTGTCCCTTTCTATCTCAAAGATAAGTTACCATGGATAACTTGGTTTTGAACTTGGTTCTCTTTTAAAATTTGGACACGGCAAAGTAGACATTTTGTTCTAATTGATTCTCACAAGACTTTTTGTTGAAGGATCTGTGGCCTAAACGGAATTAAACCACTAAGAAATAAAATTCTTAAAGGGATTCTGTTCCATATAAGGAATGCTGTGACTCTAAAACCTCTACAGAGATTAGAATTGTAGTATGACGAAATCTCTAATTTTCTGCTTTTTACAGTTATTTAAATTTCATAAGCTTAAGCAGTCTATAATTGTCTTCCTGAAATTATCAGGCAAATACACTGTTTCTTAACGTTTGCATTAGCAATTAATCTATTTTCCTATTTAACTACTTAAACCTCTTAATTGTTCTTCATAAAATTAACAGCGTTTGATGCTGGGGTTCTTGTTCTCAGAGTCGAAGAACAAACTTCACAGACACTCACGGTAGGAAAGCAAGGGAGAGACTTTTCCTTAGAGATAAAGTGAGAGGACAGAGCTCCTGGCACACGCCAGGAGGGGACAGAAGAGTCCGTGGCTGGGCTTTGCTGAGGGGTTTATGTCTTATTTTTAAACTGAGTTGCCTGTTTTGTTTTGTTTTTAACTGGTTCCCGCCTGGATGCTGTTTTTATTTTAACTAATCTCACTGAAGAATGCCTATACTTCTAATTTGGTATTTTTACCCTAAAGTATTCGATTAGTAAGACTCTGACTTTGCTTAATGTCAACACAGAGCTTTGGAGTGGAGCTTCCGTAGGGGCTTCTTTGCACATTGTTACATTGTTCTGACTGTAATTATCCTGCTTTGTTTTTCCAGAGGCCCTCACCCTACTCTGCCGAAACCCATGGTCCCTGTCTCAATCACATTTCCAGGAGAATAAGGAGTTTTGGTGATGCTAATGGTCCCTCAGGCCCCCGTGTTGCTTCTCCCATCTTCCAACAAAAAAACGATACCCTCCCGTAGTGTCTCTACAGGGCTTTTGGGGTGGAGGGAGGGGAACACCTGGAAGATCCAGCTAGTTGCCCTCCAAGGGCTTGCACATCCTCACAAACTGTCCTGCTGTGAACCTGTTCTAACGGTGACTCACTCCGAGCAGACACTCTGCACGCTCATTAGAAAGTATTTTTGCTTGTGCAGCTGCACATCCACGCCTCAGTGCAACGCCGTGTCCCGGCATGACTGACGGCAACCAGGCTTCTCCGCCCTCAGGACCCTCTCCGAGTCTCATGACACCAAATATGTTTATTCTTTCCCTACTTTATTGAGGTATGATTGACAAATAAAAACTACATGCATCTAGGTTGTACAACATGAATTTCTAAGGCGCACAATGTGATGATTTAATGCATACGTTGTGACATGATCACCACGTCCAAGTTCACTAACACATCCATCACCTTACACTGTTACCTATGTGTGTGTGGTGGCAATGTTTGTGATTTACTCTCAACAAATTTCACATATGCAGCACAGTGTCACTAACTATAGTCACCATGCTGTGCATTAGATCCCCAGAACTTATTCATCCTTGAGATATAATGAGTCATAAGAAATATATATTTGGTCATTCAGATGACCAAATACCTATTTCCCAGGTATGTTTGGTCTTCATCCACAGTTCCTGAAAACACTGCAGAGTCTTAAAAGTGGAATGGGTGCTTTGTCATGTTAATGAGAGACTTTTGGACCCCCAACTAAGGGTGGGGACTGGAGATTGTATCAGTCAATGGCCAATAATTTAGTCAATCATGACTATGCAGTGAAGCCCTCACAAAAGCCCTGAGCGGAGCTCATCGCTGTCTTGGATCCTGCTTCTCTGTCAGAACTTTCACACTTGGGGAACCAGAAAGCTTCCACATGCCACAGAGCCAGGCCCCAAAACCACCAGGATAGAAACTCTTTCATTTGGAACCTTGCCCTGTGTATCTCTTCAACTGACTGTTAACTTGTACCCTTAACAGTATCCTTTATTAAGCTGGTAAATGTACGTGTTTTCCTGAATTCCATGAGCTGCTCTAGCAAAGTAATCAAACCCAAGGGGGAGGTCGTTGGAACCTGCAATCTGTAGCCAGTAGGTCAGAAGCACAGGGAACAGTCTGGGGCTTGCAACAGTGTCTGGATTGGGGAATGGAGGGCAGTCCTGTAGGATGAAGCCCTTAACCTGGGGAATCTGGTGCTGTCTCCCGGCAGATAGCATCAGAATCGAGTTGAGTTCTTGGACACCCAGCTGGTGTCCCGATAATTGCTTGGTGTTATGTGTGGGAAGACCTCCGCTCCCACACATACACATACACTGGAATCCAGAAACCCAAACGGAGTTACACTACTATTACTGTTGTATATAATATTATTAATGCTGTGGATAATACTGCATTGGTCTGTATATGAAAGAACACATCGCGATCCTATACCTGAAGTGTGCACACTTTGACTACTTCTCCCCATTTCTTCCATCCCTCGGCTCTTGGCAACCACCACTCTACTCTCTGGTTCTATGTGTTCGACCTTTCTAGATTCCACACTTAAGTGAGACCATACAGTACTTGTCTTTCTGTGTCTGGCTTGTGTCACTTAGCATAATGTCCTCCAGGTTCATCCACACTGCCTCAAATAGCAGGGTTCCCTTCTTTTTAATGGTTGAGTAATATTCCAGTATAAAAATACTCTTTCCTTACCCACTCCCCCACTGATGGACACCTAGGTTGTTTCATGTCTTGGCTTTGGCGCATATTGACACTCCAAGGCACTGGTTTCATTTCCTTTAGATACTTACACAGTAGCAGAACTGCTAGATTATATGTTAGTTATATTTTTTAATTTTTTGAGGAAACTTCATACATAGTTTTCCATAGTGGCTGCAGCATTTTACCTTCCCCCCAACAGGGTACGATACTTCCCTTTTCTCCACAACTTCACCAGCATTTGTGAACTCTCGTCTTTTCAATGATGGCCATTGTACCAGGTGGGAAGTTTTGACCTGCATTTCCCTGATGAGTGATGCCAAGTACCTTTTCATGTACCTGTTGGCCATCTGTATGCCTTCTTTGGAAAATGTCTATTCAGATCCTTTGCCCACTTTTTAATCCATTATTTTGTTTTTTTGCTTTTGTTTTTGCTATGGAGTTATGAGTTCCTTATGTATTTTGGATATTAACCCCTTATCAGACATATGGTCTGCAAATATTTTCTCCCATTCGTAAGTTGTCTTTTCATTCTTTTGACTATTACCTTTACTATACAGAAGTTTTTTAGTCTGATGTAGTCCCACTTGTTTTTTGTTTTGTTTTGTTTTGTTTTCTTCTGTTTCCTATACTTTTGGTGTCATATCCAAAAGCTAATTGCCAAGACCAATGTCAATGAGATTTCCCCCTATGTTTTCTTCTAGGAATTTTACAATTTCAGGCCTTACCTTTAAGTCTTTAATCCATTTCAAGTTAATTATTGTATATGGTGCAAGGTAAGGATCCAGTCTCAT